ATACCAACATGAAATGTGGCCCTGACTTTACCCTTGATCGATCGATCGATTAAATAAATTGTAAGCTAAGAGGGCAAGCCCGCGCGCGCTCATGATTTGGGCACACTGATCCTCCACCTCCACGGCTCCACTCCAGGAAAAATAAAAATATATCACAGAGGCTGCACGCAGCCCGGTCCCAGTGGTGGCGGCAGCCGTGGTCGTGGGACTGACAAAAGCGGGGCTCCGTTCGCTTGTCTGCAGCTGCACCCGCGTGCGTGACGTAGCCTGACGCCACCAAATATTCCCCCGCACAGGCAACTAGTGCTAGGCTAGCGACTGCACAGGCTAGTCGCGACTGCACAGGACACCATCATGTTTCCAGAAAGAGAGTCGATCGGACAAAGTCCCTTCAGGTTACAAAAAATTTACTAGTTCCTAGTTCCTCCCTTCCCTCCCCCTCTCCTCCAGACCAAAAAGGCAGAAGCCACCGCACCACTCGGCCAACCCCTTCTTCCTCTCATGTCTCACAGCCACAGCAAGTTATTAGCTGAGATCTGAATGAAATCCTGTACTATGGATGGATGAATTCTATCATCACGTACGCATACTGAATAGCAGAAATGCACTAGTTTCTCACTTTATTATTTGTTATTTCTCTCTCTTCAGTCAGCGCAGCGTTACCAGAGGGACACAATGAGCAGTAATTCGATCATGACACCATCCATCCAAGAAGTGGAGAAGATGCATGGATAGGACAGAAGATGGACGCCGGGCCGCCGGTCGGATACTCGGATCGTAGCAGTGAGCTGTGACTGTGAGCAGAGCAGCGACGACGCTGGCTGCTGAATTGTTCTGCAAGTCCTTTCCAGGACGGATCGCGCCCGCCCACGCATGCTGACATGGGCTATACGCCTAGCTACTACTCCTACGCCCGTGCATGGCATGATCCGAATAAAGCCGGGCGATCTGATGAATTCTTGCTCAAGGGACCTGCTACACGCACCGTGCATGACACGAGGGTAGGAGTATATATATCTTAAACTACGGCTGGGCTGCCAGCCATCACATGCATGCATGCTTCCATTCCATCGCACACTCCATCTTTCTTCATACTATATATAACCTGAAAACGATAGCCTTCAAGGAGCTACGACGACAGCTCAAAGGCTACGCTCTCCATGGCATTGGCATGGCCTGTGTGGTGCCTGTGTCTCTGTCTATCGATCGTTTTATTTGCCGTTTGGATCCACGAAAAGCGTTCCCTCGTGCCTGCTTTTGCTTTCTGCCTAGGTACCAAAGCTAAACTATTAGCGACGCTAAAACAGATAAAGGGCAGTGCAGGCCCGCATGTGAATCCTAGCTAGGCATCTATATCGGTCCATTGGATGATAAATAAACTAGGCACGATAAATAAGCTGAGGTCGTCGATGAACGATGATAAATAAGCTGTTATATATTGTTGATCGAGGTCGTCGATGAACGATGATGGTGTTGGATGATAAATAAGCTGAGGTCGTCGATGAACGATGATGGTGTTGGTTCTTTCATCGGTGATCAAGTTGTGGTTATATATTGTTTAATACTGTTAGTTCAGACGACCAAATTCGATTGGTTGCATTTGTGAGTTTTTGTGTTCATGCCTCATAGTAAAATGGCCTAGTAAACTAGCATTCACATGCATGGTGTTGTGTTTGATTAGAAGAGCTTTTTTATTTCTTTTTTTTGAAGTTTGTTTTGATTGGAGGAGATTTTTTTCTGTTTTCCCGCTAAACGGGATTGGAATGCCTTCTTGGCCAAGTGTAACCTCTGAAAACAAAGAGGTCGATTCCATTTCCCTTGTCGAAATACGAGTACCAAAGTTTACAGTCCATTTGGTTGCAAAACAAGATAGGACAGAATGGTTCCATTGCTTATACTAGGGAGGATGAGATGGTTCCATGCAGATACGTGTTTGGATAGAGGGGTAGAACGGTTCCAGTTTATTGTCTTTGGTTGGGGATATAGAATGGATAAGATAACAGATCCATTAGCCAATGCTACTATAGGTTCCACTTGTCCATTAACCACCTCCCTTCCTCCCTTAATCGCATCCCCATCTTGCAGTATGCCCCCACCCGACTCCACTCAAGCCATTCTTGGCGATTCGACTCCATACACCTTTGACCTGCTTTTGCATAGATCGTAGCCTGCCACGACACTACCCCACGCTACTCTAGCGTGCCCTCGCGGATTTTGCCCCCGCATGTAGATGCACCTTCGACTACTGCCTACCCTGACCATGTGTTGCTATGCCTAACCATCCCCGTCTATACCCCCCATTCACACCTCTATACACTAGAGGAGATGGCCCTTACATCGTCGTAGTAGCATTATGAGCTCGTCTAGATAAATTTTTTCATATAGACTCACCCTAAATCAACCTCTCTTTTTTATTCTCACACCCTTTAACTAAACACTACCTTACTCAAAAGAGGATGGAAGGAGGGAGGGGGGGGCAAAAGCCCCCCTAAGTTAACGTCATGGACGGATATGGTCTTAGGGCCATGCCCCTAGGTGTGGCATAAAATTTCTCTTATATAAGCTTTAATTTTCTAGCCTAATATGAAGTGGCCCTATGCGCTGGGCCAATTGCTGTTGCGTACCTACTACCAACAACGGTCTCCGTCATCTGGATGTCTATAATCACATATTACCTCCTTAGAGGTAATAGAAGAAATATATTTTTTATTTTGAGAAATAGGAAGGTAAGCAAAATTTCACGAAAAATATCTATAAATTAGATCTAACATGCATGCAAACATGCAAACGTATATGGATGGTTCTCAAGATGACATGTAACATTTTTTAATTAAGTGATCTTTGCGATGGTTCCCAACATAACATGTAACATTTTTTTTAATTCATTGATCTATGTGTGAAGTTGTAATTTTTCCTTGAAATGTGACTAGACCTAAATTGAAACGTGAAGGTAATGAACGACAGACTTGAACATGTTAGTACTTAAATTATTTTTTGTGTGTGCTATGAAAGGTCTTGACCGGCTCTGTGAGAGGATGAGAGAGGAGAGACAAAAAGAGCTCCTGTGAACAGTGCATACATTAGTGAAGCTGGAGCCGATGGTAACTCTACCAAACAGGACCGTAGTTTTCAAAGGTTATGAAGCCTAACGGCAAGATGTGAAGTGACCATGGATGGACCCTACTGAGTGCCCAAGTGCTAGAGTGATATGTTTTATGAGACAAATTTTGAGTTCTAGAATGTTATTTTTTTTAGCCGAAGACAGTACCTTTGGTCTACTAATATGAAGTTTTGGACATGACAAATGGCTTGTTTTTTTTTTTTTGCGAAGACAAATAGCTTGTTTTGACCGTCTGAAACGCCATACTTCAAGGACTAGAGAGGGCCCGATTAATTTGTTTGTTAGTAGGTGGAGTCGGTCTACCTAGGTCCAAGCATATGACTTTGTATAGGTGCTTGTATTCACTTGATGTTTAGTAGTAGATGATGTATCCGTTGTTAACGACAAGATGCTTGTAGTGACTTCATTAATTTTATGATGTTTCGACTCAATCTTTCAGCTAAGTTTACGGGGTAAGAATGGAAGTGAACATAGTATTTAAAAAAAAACTAAATTGCTATTTGTCAACTGGTTGATTTGGCTTCATCTGTCAACCGAAATATGGGCCATTCAATCTCTCTCTCCCCGGCTGGTGATCTGCCTGTGCGTGCTCGACTTGGGTGTGTGGCAGGAGCTAAAAGATAGTGTAAGTATATGAGCAAAATTGAGTTGATAGGAGGAGTTAAAATAACTGAACCCTAGACAGATTAAAAAAATGGTTCGTTCCATTCTATCGCATGTTTGCAGAGACCTAGCACTAGTCGTATCCGATAGATAGACTGACACCTAGGATATACGGAGTAACAGATAGATTGACCTACTTCAAACAAAAAGGCATGGGGCTTGACAATTGGGGGACGGAAAAATCTTATTTTGAATTGATTGTTTGAGAGAAAAATCTCGGATTTCAGCGAACGTATGCAATTGATTTTGTGAGTGGCGGAACACAAATTTACCATTTGGCTTTAAGCCAGCCGAACACGCCCATGGAGGTGGTCTTTTGTTGTGGAAATCAGCCGCTAAACGTGTAAGTCGTCTCCATGAAAGACCAAGTGTCTCTTTAGTTTCCAAAATTTTACAAAATTTTTAAGAACGCATGGAGGTGGTCTGTCATGAAGCATTAAATATAAATGTTGTGGAAGCAGTTTAGGCGAAGCCAAATCTTTTAAACGTGTCAAGTCGTCTCCATGAAAGCAACAACGCTTGAGTCGTTCTCGTTTCACCGTATCAACAAAACGCGTTTCCCGTATCCAAAACGTTGGGCAGAGCACGCCGGCGCCGGCTGCCGATACTACCGGAACGGGACCAACTCACTAGCGCACGTAGGGGAAGGAAAATGGAAAGACCGAAAGAGGCAGGCAGGCTGGGGCAGCAGGCCACGCGGACGCGGCGTCGGCGTCCGCCGAGGGAACGGAAGAAGCGGGCCTTGGTTTCGGGGAAAGAAAAGAAAGCGCCCAATCAACCCCAGGTCTGCGCCCCGCGTGCTGCTGGTGTTTACTGGCGGCTTATTACTGCCGCCGCCGCCGCCGCCGCCCACGGCCGTCGGCCTCGGTTTCTCACTCTCAGTCGAGTGCCTGGCCAGCCAGCCAGCCAGTAGGCTCTCGCGCAAGGCAAATCTACCCCGCTCGGGCGGACTCGGGCGCGGGCCGCCCCACCTCACCTCCCTCGCCTCCTCGCTAGCTAGCCTTCATCATTCCTTGCTTCCTCCCTCCCCTCCCCTCCCTCCTTCGCCCCTTCCCCTCCCTTTCCTTTCCCTTCACGAGATCCCCATCCGGGCATCCCCACCTCTGACCGCACCTCCCATGCCGCGACTAGCTCGCTCACCCGCCCACTCCGCGCTCAGCAGCCGCCCCGCAGCGAGATCCAGCGCCGCCGCCGCCCCACGCAGGTGCTCGGCGGAATGTCCCACCGCCCGCCGGCGCCAATGCCGGACACCCTCTCGGACGCCTTCGCCGCCGCGGTTCTCCTCTCTTCCACCGACAAGCCGGACACGCTTCCCCCAGGGAGGCTCTCGCCCGTCTCCCCGCTCCCCTCAAAGCACGGGCACCAGCACCACCACCCGACCCCGAGCTCCTCCTCGGGCTCCTCCGGCTCCGTCTCCCGGGCCCCGGTCGCGCCCGCCTCCGGCCTTGCCTCGCGCCGGAGCCACTCCGGCGAGATCCCGCTCCCCTCCGACGCGCCGCCCCGCGGGGCCGCGCGCCCGGGCCACCGACGCACCGGCTCCGGCCCCCTCATCTTCACATCCGGCGCCGCGTGCTCCAGCTCCGCCACCTCGCCGCTCACCAACGCGCTCCCGGCAGGCAACATCTGCCCCTCCGGCCGCCTCGCCAAGCAGCTCCCCTCCTCCTGCTCCTCCGCCGCCACCCCGCCGCCCCCGCCCCCGCCCCGCGCCTCCCGCCACGACGTGCTCGGCTCCGGCACCGCCAACTACGGCCACGGGAGCATCGTCCGCTCGCGCTCCGCCGTCGGCGCCGCCACCGACGACGACGCGGTCCTCAGGCGCGCCATGTCGGCCGCCGACCCCGAGGAGGTCAAGAGGGCCGGGAACGACCAGTACAGGAAGGGCTGCTTCGAGGAGGCCCTCAGGCTCTACGACCGCGCCCTCGCCCTCTGCCCCGACAATGCCGCGTGCCGGGGCAACCGCGCCGCCGCTCTCATTGGCCTCCGCCGCCTCGGCGAGGCCGTCAAGGAGTGCGAGGAGGCGCTCCGGATTGATCCGTCCTATGGCCGCGCGCACCACCGCCTCGCGTCCCTGCATATAAGGTGAATGGATTGCCTGGGCCTTGGGCTGGCCGGCACTGACGGATCTGAGGCAACTTCTCTTCTACACAATGGGCTTGCTTTGCTGTTTGCTCCGCTGATCTCATCCTCAGCTAAAGAAAATACAGTACTAGAGTGATTTGCCACCATAATGTATCTCGATTTTGAATCTAAGCTTTGCTATTTTTAGCAGAACTTGCGAAAACGGTCATGGGGTATGTTGCTCATGGAGTGAGGACTATTTCCACAATAGGCTCAATGTTTTTGTTAGTAGGACCATACTTTAGAGTGCTACTAGGCATCCATGTGGAACCGGGTTCATTTCACTATCGAACACTCCCTTTTGTGTCACTCTCCAGTCTCCATTCCCTTCATAGTTCGGGATTAGTTGCTTTTCTTCTTTCCAGACAACTAGTAACTGTTTGTTTGGTACAAAAGAATAAATAGTAAACTTACGTCCTGTTCGGCAGGACTGAAAAATACTATTCCGGCTGATTGTTGTGAGAGGAAAATACTGTTCTGCCAGGACGTGAACAGCGATTCTGTGAGGTGGCTGGCTAGCCGGCGACCAGCCAGCCAGCCGAACACGCCCTTATACACCCTGTTCGCTTGTTGGTTTCAGCCAGGCTTATTCAACCAGCCAACAGTGTTTTCCTCTCACAACAAATCAGCACCAGTCAGCCCAAACCAGCTCAGAAACCAACCAGCGAACACGCCGATAGACGGTCACTGCAGTCCTATTTTCTAGCCCCTTTTGCCTTTTTTTTTCTTGTTCAGTATAGACTTTATAGTGTTCGATGTTGATTCTTTTGTGCATTATCGTTGATCCTTTGTGTTGCTTTCATGAGTTGGACTAATATAATAGACTAAGTGATTCTTGAATTATTCACTCATACCAGTTTTTTATCTGATCTTACACCCTTATTGAACTGCAGGCTAGGACACATTGAGGATGCTCTGAAGCACCTGTCACTTGCAACCCCACAGCCTGACCTCCTAGAGTTGCACAAATTGCAAACAGTGGAGAAGCACTTGGGGAGATGTCTGGATGCGCGAAAGGCTGGGGACTGGAAGAGTGTTCTAAGGGAAAGTGATGCTGCTATTGCAGCTGGAGCTGACTCCTCTGCTCTGGTTAGATTCTGCCCTTCACCTAACTCGATATTGGCTAGCTGACTCTTAGTTCAATGGCATGCGCTTACCTAATTTACATTTTCAGCTCTTGGCTGCTAGAGCAGAAGCCCTTCTCCGTCTCAATTTACTTGATGAGGCTGATATTGCAATCTCTAGTGCCTCCAAATTGGATTATACATCTTCATGCTCCTCAGACACCAAATTTTGTGGGTTTCTTGCCAATGCCTACCTCTTTTATGTACATGCCCAAGTTGACATGGCATTAGGAAGGTAATTCAGCAACTTTCCGTGTTTCCTGCAATCCTGCTACATATATACAAATAAGTTTACTGGTCAATATGCTTTTTTTCTTCCCACCTGAATGAAGGGAAAAAGGTTGCGCTACCAAGTTATATCATGTCTATGGAACTCTTTCTTTTTTAATACATTTTTCCTGCTGTAGCAAACTGTAGTCAAATAACACTTTAGTTCCTCTGAGCTTTGCTCTGAGGGTGAACAAAGAAGCTCAACAACCTTAACTCAAAAGTATTTTGACTTATCAGGTTCTTGTAGGTTACCTTACCTGCTGTAGCTTGATATCATATGACTTGACAGTTGTGAACATTTTGCAGGTTTGACCATGCTGTCTCCTCCATAGATAAGGCTAGAATAATAGATCAAGGGAACACTGAAGTGGTAACCATGCATAACAAAGTGAAATCTGTGGCCAGAGCACGATCTCTAGGGAACGAGCTCTTCAATTCTGGAAAATTTTCAGAAGCTTGCCTTGCTTATGGTGAAGGGCTCAAACAACACCCTGTGAATAAAGTCCTGTACTGTAATAGGGCAGCTTGTAGGTTCAAGCTTGAGCAGTGGGAGAAGTCAATTGAAGACTGTAATGAAGCTCTCAAGATCCATCCCAATTATACCAAGGCTTTGCTCAGGAGAGCAGCATCCTATGGCAAGGTGGCATATTTTGATCTTCTACCCTTTCTTTTTTGTTTCTTTTTCCTGATTTAGAGTTTTGGAAACTCAAAAGCAACTTAATTTATTGCTCTTTTGGTGGTTAGATGGAGCAATGGGCAGAATCCGTGAAGGATTATGAGATTCTCAGAAAAGAACTTCCAGGTGACAAGGAGGTTGCTGAGGCCTATTTCCACGCCCAAGTTGCTCTCAAGTCATCTCGTGGTGAGGAGGTATCCAACTTGAAGTTTGGAGGAGAGGTTGAAGCGATTATAGGAATGGAACAATTCCAGATGGCTACATCTTTGCCAGGTTAGTCTTATAACCAGCCATATTCATTATTTTATAATGTTGATTCATGTCTTCTTTTTTGTTCATACTGCGAGCAAGTTACTTAGAAATCTTATATTGCCTATAGTAGCTCTTGAAAGATCATTTTTCATTACGTGTATGTAGATACATTTTCCTAAAACACATATCCATTGCTTTAGTTCTGATAGCAAAGAAGAATACCAACTTATCAAGTAGTACCAGTAAAAGCCTTCCATATGGAGAACAGCATTTGAATGAGAGCTTTTTTTTAACGCAATGGCAGGAGCTCTGCCTTTCAATTAAGATAGGGAAAGATAGTTTATGTACAAGCAAGGACACTCTAGATGTGGGTTTGAAACCCCCCCAAGCATGTAAAGGAGGGAAACACACGCCCCAAGGGGGGGGGGTGGGGGACAGTAGCTAAACATAAGCGAGTGCTCTCTTCCTTTGCTCTATGTCTTCCTTTATCCTTGCGGCACCATTTCTATCTTCTTGTTGAAAATTCTCCTATTTCTCTCTTTCCAAATATTTCAAAAGGTGTAGATTACTACCCCGTTAAGTCGTCTACGCTCAGATCTTGGCACTTTCCTTGCCGCCTCTTCCCATCATGCTCTGATATGGATGGGGTCTGCCTGGGGTTGCTGTTGCAGTTGAGTGAAGTTTTCCCACGAGAGGATTTGATCCCAAACCGCCTTAGCAAAAGGGCAACATAGGCATAGGTGGAGGCCGGTTTCTAAGGGACCGTTGCACAGCACGCATTGTTGTTGGTGTGGCCACCCTCTCTTTTGTAGGTTTTGCGCCGTAAGAATTTTATCTTGCACTAAAATCCAGGCGAAGATCTTGCATTTGTTCTCCACGTGCGCTTTCCAAATCAATTCCGTACGGAAGGGGATGAGCGAGCCTTTGAATTGAATTCTGTAAGCTGAGCGGGTGGAGTAAATCTCATCCTTGGTCCATCGCCAGATGATGGTGTCCTGGACGCCCTGTTGTAGGTGCACATCCTGTATTCGTATCCAAAGGGACACAAACTCTGTGGACAGCCGAGGTGATTTTTCTTCCTAGCGAGCGCATCCAATTGTTGTTCCGGAGCTCTTGTTGCACCGTTCGGTTTCTCCTTGAAACAAGGCGAAACAAGTTCGGGGCTAGGTACCTAGGAGCTTGTCCATCAAGCCAATTATGGTGCCAAAACTTAGTCTTTGCACCATCCCCCAAAGTTATAATGATTGAGGAGTTGAAGAGGAGACGATCATCATTAGTACATGGAAGCTCTGAGCCGCTCCAAGACTTAGAGTCGTCCACCCATTCTTGCCAAAGCCAGCGCAACCGGAGGGCTCTCCCAAATCTGGAACGCCTAAACCACCAAGGTCTTTTGGTCTGGTAACTGTTGGCCAGTTAACCAGGCAGTGTCCGCCATTGGCATTCTCCTCCCCCTTCCACAAGAAAGATCTCCTGATTTTGTCGATCTTTTTCTTAGCCCATGCCGCCAAAGGAAACACTGTGAGGTGGTAGGTTTGCATTTGGTGCTCAACTTCTGAACAGCTCATCCAGCTAAATGTTACTAGAATCTAACTGAGCCGATCCCTAAGCCCGTGAGTTTCGGCTAATCTCTGGCAGATGCAAAAGACGAAGGTCCTTTAGCTAGTCATGGATTCATGATAGGTAGTGCAACTGGACCACACAAGCACCCCCTCTATTTTATCCTTGTTTTTTTAGATTTACCTTGAATCCGTGACGCAGATAACATAATCATGTCTGACCACACAAGCACCCTCTATTTTGTCCCCTTTTTCTCTCTAAGAATTCGTTGACGCAGATAACATAATCATATCTTCATTATTCAAGAATAGGAAGTCCCATTTAACTATTTCAGTTAACATGAATTTCCAATTGTTCTGTTTGCACATGCATCCGCTGATGTTGACTTGCAGATGAGTAATAATTGAACAGAACAATAGTACGACGATCTTGACTTTTTCTGATAGGCATGAGGTTGTACCACCGGTTGGCAGTACTTGTTACTGTTTTCTGACGTGCAAGCAATGTTCACATGGCTTTTGTTTTCCTATCATTGTACTAATGCTGGTTGGAAGTACATAATTTGGTTACTCTTTTGTCTTTTACTATCTGGTCACTTGCTCTCTGTCAGTCTTGTGCTCTTGCTGTAATAGTAGTCCTTAGCTTTTCTTTATTTGATGCATCTTATTGGTCTACATGAAACAGGTGTTTCAGTTATCCATTTCATGACGCCTTCAAATCAGCAGTGCTGTAAGATTTCCCCATTTGTGAATACACTGTGTACGAGATACCCATCAGTTAATTTCCTCAAGGTAACTAACACTGTCACATGGCCATCCACGGTCACCATCCCTTATCTGTCCTACATTAACATGCCCTTTTGTCTTCACTTCAGGTTGATGTGAACGAGAGCCCTGCTGTTGCACGCGCCGAAAATGTGAGGACAATTCCAACATTCAAAATCTACAAAAATGGTATGAGAGTCAAAGAGATGATCTGCCCCAGCCAACAACTGCTGGAATATTCAGTGAGGCTTTATGGGATTTAGGCCATGAATCCGATGATTTGATGGTTCCTTCCGCCTCCAGCTTCTGGAGCGAGTACAGGCTTAGCCGGAGCAGAATCAGTCAAAGTTCATCTTGATGAGGGCAAGCGTGAAAACTGAAAAGCGAAGAGCAACTCTTCCCCGGCATTTTCCACCCCATTCTCCATTTGTTGATTACCTACTCAATTTATTCTTTTAATCTGTCTCGTCCGTGCATCATTGTTGAAAATTTCTTTAGAGCAAAAACATCTCCTGATTCATGTGAAGAATGACTGTAAATTTTTACTTCCATGTTTACCAGACAACTAAGGAAAGAAAGGTATAGATTGCATTTTGTAATCTCTAAATTCAGTCGTATACGGAAGCATAGGCTTCCTTTGTTTTTCACGATCGGGTTCGTGGAAGCACCAACATTGCAATGGCCCAAATTCTAGTAGTACCTCCAAAAAGAATTTGATTCTAGGTTTGGATTATCATAAATTTTGATTAGGGTTGTAAAATAGTATCAACATTTAATATCTCTAGATAGATTTATTATAAAAATCCATTCCATGATAAATCTAACAGTATTTATTAAATATTAGTATTTTTGTATATATTTAGATAAACTTTTACGTATTATAAATATTGGTATTTTTGTATATATTTGATAAAATTCGAAATTGATTGACTCGAGAAAAAATGACTTTTATTTTGGGACGATGGGAGTAGAATGGAGTTGTATACAAATACATTACCAACCTTGTAATGGCCTGTATTCACATACTAATAGTGTAAAAACTGTATACGAATGTTCAATCGCTATTACTGATGCACTATGTCAGTCCTGAATTGCGTATTTCTACATGCTCTCAGCGCAGTTCCATACTAGCCTAGCACTGCATAACTACGTTTGAATTATATGTGATCTTCTTTATGGTCATCTGGAGCAGAGGATTGACTCAACCCTGTAAAATTTCCATGTACTGTAACTCCTAGGAAATACTTTTAACCTGCTGAAATTACAGGGGAAACCTTACGGAAAGTTAAAAGTATGAGTCTTCAGACTTCATGGCCTTTCCTCCATAGAAAATTATGATTTTTTCCCAAGATTTTGTGAATGGGAGTTTTCGCATGTTTTTTGCAATCCCGTTTCTGCAAATGCATTCCCGTTAGAAGAATATACTGCGTTCTGGGATTCCTCCTTTACCTGAGGACTGTTGACCGGTTAGTTCGTTGTTCTCTGTGCTTTTGGCACCGACACGTGGGCCCGGCATCCATGAGGCCGACATTATTGTCAACGTCGAGACAAGGCCGTGCTGAGACTGGTTGCTTTGGCATTTCCTCTCCCTCCAGATGGAAGATGATGCATTTCTGTCCCATCACCATCTCTCCATGCCCACATGCGGACTCGCAGTCCTTTCTTGTAGATCCCGGAACAGGCCGCACTTCTTTAGCTGTTCTATGATGCATCATCTTGCATACAGCATATACTATAATAGAAAGAATAAGAAGAAAAAAAAGGATGCCATGCTGGCCTTCATTTTGTCAGTAATTAGCGTCATCTTGCTAATTACTAGTATGTACTTCCATTAACAATCTTGGGAGACTCCCTAATTTACCATTAATTTTTCTAATTCATGTTTTTGTCTATGATTAGGTGGGCCCAGTCCAGACCCAAGATGTTGTTGTCTTGTTGACCAAATGGATGACAAATATGGGATGGGGGGATCTTTTAGCAACAAATAAGGAACTGTACAGTATGATCTCATCATGCAGGGGAGAGTGGTGCACATTGCCCCTCAGCCAAAATAACGATTTTGATCCGCCGCAGCATATGCGCAAACTCCATCATCAATGAGTGCAGCCAATCAGGAAGAATGAGTATTACAACGGAATGATTTTACAGTCGTTCAAATCTCTTATATCATGTTTAGATACAAGAACCAATTGATTTCTGTTCAGTGCATAACAACCACAAAATTCAAAAGTTTGGACTCACAGGATGTATAAGTTACAAATCAAAATGCGCAGGGCATGATCCTAGAAAATGTAGTCTAGTCAAGATCGCAAAACGAGACTGCAAAAGGTTTATCCAAGAATGCGTTCCACATGGTGTGCCACAGATTTTGTGAGACTGTCTGCTTCTACCTGCGTAGATGCCTCTGCATACACCCGTACCACATCTTCTGTACCAGATGGCCGCACAAAGCATCGCCCGTGGGTGTAGTTGGCTGCAGTGACATCACAATTTGAATATCAATCACACTAACGCAAAGTAAATTAGACTTCAAAGAGTGCGATGCAGAACTGTTACACACTGCATGATATAATTAAGTTGGCGCTTACCAGTCTCCTTATCTATCAATTCTTGCAAACCACAAGGTTGACTAACTTTTGTCTCTGCGTTTGTTGTGACAATTACACTTCGATCTTTAACTTTCACCTGAAAAAGAGTAGCAAAGTTAAATGAACACCTGGTTATGACAGGTGAGTAGTTGAATGAAAAAAAGCCGAGTGCAATATTTATAAGGTTCCGTCATCTTCAGTGAATATAAGGTGATTTAAAGGGAAAAAAGAGAGGAAAGTTCAGTCAAGAACTTACTTTCATCTGTTTACTGGGCAAATCACTATATAGTTCACACCAATTCTGAAATGACCATCCCTTATACTGTAAAATAGCCTCCACTAAAAGCAAACCACTCAGAGCATCACCTACTGCTTGATTGATCAGCTGACTTGCTGCCAACAATCTCATTACAGCATGATACTGTGCTGAACCTAGGAAGGGCATTAGACCAACCACATCAAACAAAATGTTAACAGGGAGAATAAGGAGGTAGAACCGATGGTAAGAGCTTACCGGTGGCAGCTTGAGAGGAGAGCCCATTGCTTAATGACTCTAGTTGAGAGATGAAGTCCTCTGAGAATACCACAGTCCCATGTCCATTGGCCTCAAAATATATACCAATGTCATACTCCAATGCCCTTTTGTGCAGATATTTCACTCCTGTAGGAGTGAATACCACTTCTAGGCCAAGGCTCTTTAGAAATTGCATCGATGCCCCATTTGCATAAGCTGTCTGAACTATTCCAAGCCTTGCAGACAATGATTTGTTTGTTTGACCACCACTGTTATTAATGATATCTAGCTGCTCTCTAATAAATAGGGCAAACAGAGATAGTATCTTATCTCCATCAACAAGATCAACCCTACTGTCACTAGCTGATGACAAACGGAAGTAGACGAGTCGATCAGCATCACCATCCAAACTTGCACACCTAAAATGCTAGAAGAAAATGGTAAAAAAGGGTGTACCCAGTGCAGAGAGCTTCCGCTTTGTGCAGGGTCTGGGGAACGGTGTCAGTGGGAAGCCTTACCCTCGCCCGTGCAATGCGAGGAGACCGCGACTCGAACCCGGGACCTTCTGGTCACAGGCGGTAAGACTTTACCGCTTGCACCAGGCCCGCCCTTCTAGAAGAAAATGGTAAGTTGACTAAAAAATAATAATGATAGGAAAGCATCAAGCATGAGCAACAACCAATCATCTCACCTGACACTAACATCGTCAGGGCTAAACCCATGCGGAGTAACTCGCTCCTTTTGAACAAAGTCTGCGCCACACATGTGATTTAGTATCCCTTCTCCTTCTTTGCCCGAATTCCTCACAATAATATCTAGGCCTGAAAGTTCCACCTTTATTTGTTCGAGCTTCACCCCACCAATGCCATTTGCTCCATCCACAATTAGTTTCTTGGCAACCTCATCCCCACCTTTATCTTTTGGCACTAATTCCAACATACGCCTGATGAGATTTGAAGCTAGAAACTCATCATTAATGAAATCAGTAGTTCGTGCGAGCATAAAAGCAGCAGGACAATGACTAGAAAATAACCTGAACGATCCGATAAGTTGTGTAAAATAATCTGACTCGGAAGCTTTGGCACCTTTGTTTTTGCTCCGGACCATCCAATGCAGTTGAGGGGTGGTCAAAATTCCCATATCAATTGCGTTAGCGCCAACTATAGCATTTATCCCCTAGAGTTTGAAGATCAACTTTGAAGGCCAACCAATTAGAATGAATTTTGAAGGAACGGATCGACATGGCATACCTGCAGTGCCGCATCCAGGAGGTAAGCTCCTGTAGGTCTGGTATCTCTACCAAGCAGCACTTGCGCTGTGTCTTGGCCCCCCAATGGAATGCCCTCGTCCTTGGCAAACTGAAGCACCAGCTGTGGGGAAGAAGAAACGGTGGTTTGCATCATTCACAAGTGTTTGCTGTGTGTAATTTGGATTCGGATGCTCCCACCAAGCATCCGAATCCTGCACCCTAGTTGAAACAAGTGGAACGAAGCTGAGGAGTAGACGAGGACTGATCCGTTACCTGGAGGAGGGCGTCAGGGTCGGGGGCGTTGGCGAGGGCGTCGGCGAAGGGCTCCCAGTGCTGGGCCATCATGCCGCCGTCGGGGTCGGCGATCTTGACGCCGTTGTCGCCGACGGGGTTGTGGGAGGCGGTGATGACGATCCCGATGGCGGCGCCCGCGAGCTTGACGGAGCGGAGCGCGGCGAGGATGCCGGCGCGGCAGACGGCAGGCGCCATGGTGGCCCCGTCGGCGCGGAAGCCCGCCGTGCCATAGGAGAACCTGCAGCCAGCGCCCCCGACCCCATCTCATCCTCCGGTCTGTGCGGATTCGTTGCGTTGGTGGTGACGCGGCAGAGTGGGGAAGCAGCACGTACCGCTTGGAAGTGGGAAGCGGGTCGCGACGGCGAGAAGGCGGCGGCGCTGCTCCTGCTCCTGCTCCTCCTGATTGGCAGCCATGGCGCCCTCCTGATCGGATCGGATCTGACGCGATCTGATGACCACTTGTCAACGTGGGGAAACCGGCTCGACTACAGAAAACGAAGCGGTCTGCGTCTGCCAATTCGCCGGAATCAGATCAGAGACCACAGGCGCGGCCACAGATTCAGTTCAGTTCAACCATCTCGGATCGCACTACAATGGAATCGCATTACACGTGGAGCTGGAATTTTGTGCTCATGCCGCCGGCTACTTCCTCAGTCCACAGTCCACATGCATGAATGAATTTTCTGAAAGTTCTGACAAAGAGAGGAATATGCTGCTAAGCTGTTGTTGTCGGATTCTGAATTTCCGATGAAGAAGAGGGTTTAAGTAGAAAAGAGGCATCACTGTCACTGCACTTCTTATATTAAGAGGCATGTCCTGATCATTCAGCTCCTCCTTCATACCACATATGCACACAAACTGATCTTGCCATCCTTCGACAAGGCCTGGCATGGGTGGTGTGGAGAAGATGAAGTACGTGGTGGTGACCAGCGGCGTCGTGAGCGGGCTAGGGAATGGTGTCGCCGCCAGCAGCATCGGCACCGTCCTCAAGGCCTGCGGTTTGCGAGTCACCTTCATCAAGATAGGCAAGTTCTTCCATGTCTTCCTTATCCTGCAGATCACTGACACAGCTCCATGTCTTCCTGAATCCTGAACAGCAGTTTTCAGTTCACAATGCATTGTGTTCTACTTTCTCTTACTCCACTATGTATGTCTACCTCTGAAGAAATTTTACTAGTTCTGAACTGTGTTCTCCAAGGAATTAGAACTGTTTTCTCCGCTTCCTTTTTTCTTTTATTTTTTTCTCGAATACGCAATAGTGTTGCATATCATAGTATTTAGATAGAAAAGAGTTTTACAAACAGACAGACATGGCCAGCACCTTTTCTCTTAGGTTTACTTGACCAAGGACATCTGGTTGCACCATAGGCATCTCTTTTTTTTTTTTTTTTTGGGGGGAAGGTTGGCAAAAGCTTTGCCGAAATATATTAGTAGACTAAAGGAAAAAAGTTATTTACAAAAAAGATTTATAAGGTTTTGCTGAGGTCTTCCACAACACTGAGACCAATAATAGAAAAAGAAAATCTGAAAAACACACCACCTCAGCAGTGACCTTAAAAGAGGAACTGACTGAAAAAAAAAACTGAAAAGAAAGCCATCTGCTTATCTAGTCTGAAGCGCCAGATCACGTTGTTACTCTTCCCTGATCAGGTACGCAACTTCTAGCACCATAGACATCTTCATTTCACAGTTTCCACAGTTTCAACTTTTTTTTTTGAAAGATCCGACCTAGTCGGCATGTATTAATAAGAAGGAAGCAGTTTTACAGTTTCAACTTTTGTTTCTATCCTTGGTTGCATGTGCTTTTATTTCACATGCTTTTTTCTGTATATGTTGATTATGACGTTTTCACTTAGTTCATGTTGCAGATCCATATTTAAATACTGATTCTAGAACGATGTCTCCTTCTGAAAACGGAGAGGTATTTGTTTTGGACGATGGCAGCGAGGTAAGAACAATACAAACCTGTGCCTGTGCACTACTTCAGTAGTTTTGTCATTGCATCAGTTGGACAAGGTGCTGTGGTGGAAATATAATTTTTGGATGAATGGTTTTGCGAGTGATGCTGATCCACAAAACATCGATAACAACGAGATTTCTTGTCTTCCAGGCTAATAAATCACGTTATTTTAGGTTGGCATAGACCTTGGAAACTACGAGAGATTTCTTGATGTGGAATTAACCGGAGACAACAACATAACAGCCGGCAAGATCTATCAGGTACTGAACATGTCATTTTCTCTGCAACCTCCAACGCGGGGAGTTCTTATCCGTTTTCTCGGATGTGGTATGTCCTTGTCGGATTCTTGCAGCATGTGCTGGACAAGGAGCGAAGAGGTGATTATCTAGGGAAAACAGTACAGGTTTGTCAGTACAGTACTGCGCTACCTATTAAAAAATTAAAATTGCTGAACTCTCATATATAATAAAAAGTGCTGAAGGAAGTTATTTCATGTATTTTGAAAACCTCCTAAGGTTATACCCCACATTACGGATGCGATTCAAGAATGGATTGAGCGTGTCGCCTTGATCCCTGTCGATGGGAGAGAAGGGCGGCCTGAAGTTTGTATAGTGGAGTTGGGAGGGACTATAGGTTTGGGGATTCAGATATATATTTTTTTATGATCCGCTTGTGTTTGTTCATTTGAGAAAACGAAAATTTATCCCTAATTGTGCAGGAGATATAGAGTCAAGGCCATTTATGGAAGCTTTGAACCAGTTTTCATACCGAGCTGGTAACATTCTCTAAATATTTGGTGGCTTGGTGATTTGGTCAAAGTTTGATCAGGCTAATTGGCTACCTCTTGTTTTCAGAGTATAATAATTTTTGTTTGGTTCATGTTAGCCTTGTCCCTGTTATAGATATAGTCGGCGAACAGGTAGACAGGATTGAATATTAAATTTTGCCAGTTTTCAATATATTACTTGTTTTACTGAAGATCAATGATACTGAGTTACTCTATCTGAAAAATGCAGAAAACGAAGCCTACCCAGTGCAGCGTTCAGAGCCTCCGAGAGCTTGGATTGAAGCCAAACCTTCTGGCTTGTCGTAGCACAACAGTATACTGTTTTCGTTTCTGTTCACATGTTTCAGTTAAACCTTTACTGTATATTGGAGCGTCTAATTTATCACCTATGATATGCAGCCTCTGAATAAAAATGTCAAAGAGAAACTTTCCCAGTCTTGCCATGTTCCGGTATGAGAACCTGAAGCATCAGAATTCATATTTTTATCTGTGTTTTGTATTGATCCGTCAAAGTATTTATTCAGGATGATTGCATTATTAGTCTCAACAATGTTCCAAATATTTGGCACGTTCCCTCGCTTCTAATAGTATGTTCTACTCTTCATACGCCTTATACCAAAATCTGATTAAATACTAATTTTCAAACATCCATCGCTACTAAAATAATCCCCATTATTGTTGTCAGGATCAAAAGTGTCATGAAGCTATTTTGGGAATTCTAGGACTAGCACGGTCAGTTGTTCAAATTCTCCGGAACACAATTCCACCAACCTGTTTTGTTTCCTTTCTGTTCTCCCTCCTAAGTTCACCAAGTTCTCATTCCCGTTTATCTTATGCAGTTTAACAGTGGAACCTAAGTTGGATGCGTGGATGAACATAGCTAGAACGTGTGACCAATTGCATGCTCCTGTATGCTATATATCCTCTTATTTCGTAGTATTTCTGTCAGTCTTCAGTTTATCACACATGCTCATCTCTTTATTTCCTATTTGATTGGAGCTCAAATTTATGCAGGTCAGAATAGCAGTAGTTGGAAAATACACTAATGTTTCCAACGCGTACCAATCGATCCTCGAGGTGAATGAAAAATTTGGGTGACTAGTCCGTAGCATTGTCTCTTTCACCTTATCGTAGAACATGCTTAGAGTCATCTGGTCTTTTCAGATACTGGATAAGATCATTGATACTGACTGATTCTAGTAATGATGCAGTACTTCTAAAGTCTCATTTCTACACAAAAGTTATTGTACAATCTTTTGGCAGGTAAAAAAATGTCAGTATATATCAATCCAGGGTATATATATTTTTTTATTTCAGGCTATGCTTCATGCATCCGTTGTGTGCCAGAGAAGGCTTGTTGTCGATTGGGTCCCTGCTTCTGACCTGGACATAGAGACTGCAAATGAGGTTTCACACGTTCTGCTATATTCTAACTTTCACTGTCACTAGTGGTGCTGTCATGATCTAATCCTTATGCCTCTCTGAATGTGCTGTCGCAGTCACCTGACCTCCATGAGAAGGCATGGGGCCTACTGAAGGTGACACAACTCATGAAACTGCAAACTAAATATCAGTCACAGAGCACTGTACGTTCAGATTTCAGAGTAACGATGTGTAAGGCACACCAATTTTCTCAGGGTGCAGATGGAGTCCTAGTTCCAGGAGGCTTTGGTCACGGAGGAGTTGGAGGCAAAATTCTCGCTGCTAAGTATGCTAGAGAAAATAATGTTCCGTACCTAGGCATATGCCTGGGGATGCAGGTTGCCATCATAGAGTTTGCACGATCTGTTCTTGGCCTGAAGGACGCCAACAGCACAGAGTTTGACGCTGGCACGAGATATCCTTGTCTGATCGAGATGCCTGAGGTAACATTAGCGGCAGCGTTTGTGTGGACTTTTGCATGCTCTGAATGTATACTGACTCGAAGATGCAGATATGCGTAGGATCAAGGAGGACTTTCTTCAGAACGATGGACTGTAAATCTGCTGAACTGTAAGTACCAAGGAACATGCATGCTTTCTTCAGAATTCAGATTAGGCCATCCCTATCTAGTCTCTACAGTCTACACTGTAAGTAGAATTTTACTTTGAGTGTGTGTTTTTTTTCTCTCAACAGCTATGGTAATGTAAATTACACGGATGAACGCCATCGGCGTCGGTATGAGGTGAGATAACATGGCCCATGTATGACATGATCCATGCCATGCCAAGAAACCAACTCTCATTCCCATTCTGTAACCTGACGATTTCTAGGTGAACCCTGACATGGTGGGCGAGCTCGAGAGCGCGGGTGTCGAGTTTGTGGGCACGGATGAAAGCGGAGACAGAATGGAGGTAACGAAGCATCATGCAGCGACGCACAATCTTTCTTGCGGAATGGCTGTTGGCTGTTCAGCACGGAGATCTCACTGCATGCTGGGCACTGAATTTTCTGCAGATACTGGAGCTGCCCTGGCACCCGTATTTTGTGGGCGTCCAGTTCCATCCGGAGTTCAGGTCCAGGCCAGGCAAACCTTCTCCATTATTCACGGGTAAACGATGAACCAATCTTCTGCTGTGTTGGTGTGTGCTCTTGTTGTGAGGGTGTTGTTGACAGAGGTCACAGAGTAGTCTAGTCGTCGTTAGGTTGTCTTCTTTATCAATAAGGTCGTGTTTAAATTTAGAGTAAAATTTAGGAATGTTACATCAGGGTGTTACATGGGAGTGTTCGGACAGTAATAATAAAACAAATTATAGAATTCTTCAGTAATCTACGAGACAAATTTATTAAGTCTAATTAATCCGTCATTAGCACATGTTACTGTAGCACCACATTATCAAATCATGGACTAATTGGGCTTAAAAATTCGTCTCGTAAATTAGTCATAATATGTGTAATTAGTTATTTTTTAGTTTATATTTAATACTCTATATATCAAACATTCGATGTGGTAGGAACTAAACTTTATGAAAAAAGAACTAAACAAGGCGTAAGTTTATATGGATTGCAACGTGATGACGAGTACCTGCCGATTTCAGGGCTGATAGCTGCATCGTCAGGGTTACTGGACGCCGGCATGCTGCAGAGCCCTGCTAGCCTTGAGAATGGGAACGGACCTGTTCCCATGAAGGTCGCGTCGGGAGCAAGCGGGGGTGGTGGCTACGCGAACGCGAGTGGCCTCGAGGAAGGCCTCCTGGGCCTGCACGTCTCAGGAGCAGCACTAGCACATTAGCACTGCGTCCTGCTTCGTCTTCTCTAGCGGCTGTACTGTCGAGGTTTCTGTGTGCGTGCTCGGCGGTCTGAACTTTGAAGCGTGCAAGCTCCCTCAACTCTGGTGTTTTATCATCTATAATGTACTCTCTTCATCATAAAATAAATGCACTTTCAGGATGAAGCCCTTGTTTAGTTCGCGAAATTTGGATTTCGGGGTTACCGTAGCACCTTTGTTTTTATCTGACAAATAGTGTCCAAACATTGACTAATTAGGTTTAAAACGTTCATCTCGTAATTTCCCACCAAACTGTGCAATTAGTTTTTCTTTTCGTCTACATTTAATGCTCCATGCACGGACCGTAAACATTCGATGTGACAGGTACTATAGCAACTTTTTAGATTTTGGGGTCCAACTAAACAAGGGCGAAGAAGAAAACCAATATCCCAACAAAATTAAAAATATACCTCTGTCAAAAGTTACATGAACATATAATAATTGCACCTTGGAAATGGTGAAAATAGCAAACAAAAAATAGTAGTGCTACGTGGTCTATATCCTAAAGTACACTTATTGTGAGACAAATTTGAATGCTAGAAGTGTATTTATTTTAGGACGAAGGGAGTAAATATATGGTATCATGATTTATTTCAGATTTATTCAATGTCACTATGTGATCTTTATCTTTTGAAATATTTCGAAGGAACGCAACCATAGGGTCTTTGAAAGCCAATCGCGTAGTCAGCATAACAAGTGGCATTGCAGGTGAAGGAGAATGACGATTAGATTATGCATGTAGCCCGCGTCTCTAATGATAGAGATAGAGCAAATCCGAGAAAGATGCGCGGCTTTATGATAGGTAGGTGCAAATATGATGAAAAGATAGCTCTTATCATTGTTTTTATTTTTCTATGGATGTGGCCGCACCCAGCGCTGTGACTATATATAGATATGCCTCTGCATCTTTCCTTGGTTGCTTGTTTTAGCTGAGTTTTAGCCGTGGTGTCTAGGTTTGTGGATGGATTGTATTTTTTTTGTGTGGTCTTAAAACTTTCTTTCCCATCTTAATTAAAATGTAGAGCTCTCTACTATTTTACTTTGTTTTGATAAAATTCTGATGTCTCTAGTGCTTGCGTTGTTTGTGAGCAGGGATAGGAAGCATATCCTACCATATCCTAATTCAACTGGATGAGGTTGTAGAACCATAGATTATTCTTGTATAACAAGTTTTTTTAACGAACTACTCGCTCTATTTTAAATTGTAAGTCGTTTTTTTTATCTTTCTAGGTACATAGTTTTTGCTACGCACTATATATATTAGAGCAAAATGCATGGTTAGTCCATCAACTTATCAGCCTGTGTCTGTTAGGTCCACCAAAACTTTGAATATTCATTTCTGGGTCCAAAACCTATTTAAGTGGTCCACAAATAGTCTATAGGCCCCGTTCGGCTTACCTTAAATCCGGCTTGTTCGACTTCTTTTTTCGGCTGAAACAGTGTTTTTTCTCACACCATTTCAGCCAGAACCATGTTTTTCAGCCAATTTCAGTCATGTTTCAGCAAGCCAAACGGGGCCTATATCGTTCTGTTGTGTAATTAGACCTGATGTGGACAATACAACATGACTGAAGGCCTGGATAATAGGTCACGTGCAATCGCGGCTCCACGTGGGTTAGTCAGAATGACTTACAATATATTATGTCTAGATATAGATATAGAGTAAAACATATGAATTGTATTTCTTTTTTTTTCCCGACGGAGTGAGTAGTAGATAGGAGCGGGTGGCTGTACGGAATGGAACAGTAGCTGATCTCTGCATCGCTATCACCACCTCGGCAGGGCAAGGCGACTAGCTCGTCGATCGAGTGCACGCGCACGTAGACGCGTACTACCACACCACCTCGGCAGGGCAAGGAGACATGACACCAAAGTTGGGGGACGTGGCCGGCCGGGCGTGTGTGCTAGTTGGTCCTTGGCCCTGCCAAGCTCCCTTTTGTCTCCTAGCCCAAGATGTGCTCCTCCTGCCGGCCCGCACACGACACGTCGACGCCCCATTCGACGTTCGTATGCTGCAGCGGCTGCAGGGCCGGGCGGACGTGACGTGTACCTGATGCGTCCACTGTGTGTGTGTGTGTGTGAATTCAGAGGAGGATGAAAGGGGCTACCTGTGACGCCTGCATCGTCGATCGGTCGCTTTGCACGAGTGGTTCTGCTTCTCCGCGCTAGCTAGGTATACGTACGTGCAAACGTGGCCACCACATCTGCTACACGTTTTTACTGTAGACACCCTGATGCGACCAATGCAGTGCGAGTATCTATATCTACTCCCTCCGTTATTTTAGCGTCACATTTGGTTTGTCCTAAATTAAACGTTGCAATCTTTGACCAACAATCCTTATAGTTTCACAATATATGTATTATATATTATGATAATATTTCTCATAATAAAACTAAAAATATAAATCTTATTACATGAAACTATATAAGGGTCTGTTTGGCGGGTTTCTCTCTCCGGCTCCTCCGTAGGAGCCCTGCCAAACAGTTTAGATGGAAGGAGCCGTTTTGAGCACTTTTTTCGGTGGAAAAAGGAGGAGCCAAATTGAGGCATTTTGGAAAACAGCTCCAGCTCCTCCAGAGAAGCCCATGGAGAGGAGCCTCCCAAACACATCCTAAATTTTTAAAAATCAATGATAGTATTTGCCTCCCGCCCGCGTTCCTCTCCACCGTGCCTCACGCCGGCTTCCTCTTCACCGCAGCCGCGCCAGCATCGCCGCAACATGCTCCCCCGTGATCGCACACCTGCTGCCTCCTCGCCACGCGAGGCTGCACCAGCGCCGACCGCTGCTGCTGCCTCCACCGCGGGCACCACTCGCCGGGGGTACCGCACGCGCCCTATCGTCGGGAGCAGCGCGACCACTAGTCCGCTGCCATCCTCCTTCTCCACTACGACCACACAACCGAATCCCATTGTGCAGTGCTCCGCCCGCTCGCCCGCCCGCCGACCAGGTTTTGCTGAAAGCGCATGTTGAAAATATATGTTTCAAGTGTTTCAAATGTTTCAGAGGTATGTTGCAAGTGTTTTAATATGGATGTTGCAAAAGTAGATCGAGATGTTGCATATGTTGCAATGGCTATACACATATATGTGGAAGCGTCTATTCCAAATATTTCATTTGTTCTTTTCCGGCGTATGTTGCAAGTGTGTTTATCTGGACGTGGCATATGTTTCACACATATGTTGCAAGTGTTTTATCTAGATATCGCATATGTGTTTGCAATGGCTTTCAAGTCTTTTCAAGTGTTTTTGCAAGTGTTTTAGCTGTTTCGGACGTACGTTGCATGTGATTCACTAGATGTTGCAATAGTAGATCTCGGGTTGCACATGTTGCAATGGACCCACATGCTGCAGCTCTTAGGGCGCCGCCGAGAGGGCACACACATTCCCGTGTGCGACTACATGCGTGTGGGGGCGACGCCCGCATGGCATGGGCCCCGCGTGAATGCGCGAAACGGCGTGAAAAAACGAACTGTGGGCAGCGCGGACGTCTGGATGCTAGCGTTTGTCGGGACATCCTGCCCTTTTTTCCTAGGGGGTGGGGGGCTGGGGTATACACTTGAAATTTGTTAGTTGGTTTGGAAGGATGAAAGAAGGTTTCTTTTATTATTGGGAAAATGTCGCAAAACTAGATTTGTTTTCTTTTGGGATTATTATTCCTTTGGTACTGTTAGAGATATTGTAACGGGTCACGTGTCTAATCTAATATAATTAGCATAAAGAGTGCACACACATGATTAGCGCGTAATAAAATTCATCACCCAACGAGACCAACGTAACGACCGGCAGGCAGGCGTGTAGAGGCGAACGCATAGCAATCTCTGTGGGCGTGCTCATTCGTCCTCCACCGCAAACCGGCCGCCGGCCAGGCACCGCAGGAGATCGACACGTCAAAGGCGGGGATTTTTCTTTTACTGTGAGGTGTCGACGTCCTGGGCGCGTACGGCACCCGGCCTGTTGTCGTTGTTACCGCGGGGTCCGGGTGGCTGGGGGCCAGCAAAGTCTGGCGGAGCGGCCAATGGGAACTCGACAGAGGCGGGGTGACATGATGGGCCTGATGGCTACTACAACGTCCCGCGGTGACAAAAAAGGACCTAGGACGACCCGACCCGGCCCGCCCACTGGAGCACCAATCCGCTGTCTCGTCAGGCGCGTCAAGGCAGCAGCAGCAGCCAGCTTCTCTCCACTCTCATTTCCTTTCTTCGTCACTACTACTACTCCCCAAAGATCGATTTGTCTCTCTCTTCAGTCTTCCGGTCTGTTTTTCTGAACTGATAAGTATGATTGGTGCTGATTTATTGTAAGAAAAAAACACTGTTTGTTGACTGATAAGCCTTGACTGAAACCAACAAACGAACAGGCTGTTCATCTTCAAACCCCCCCCCCCCACCCACACACAAACACACACAGATTAAAACTTTTACTTGAATTTGAAGAAGAAGAAGAAGTGTAAATTACGGCAGGCATGTGGTTGTACAACTGCCAATATAATGAAATACTTACTACTATACTGATGTATGTGGTGCAGGAGATGAAATCACTCAGTCTCACCCAACTAACAGCCAGCCATCCAGCCAGCTGCAGTAGTAGCTGTTGGCCGGCTCAATTGCTCAATGGAACAGTATCCCTACATACAGTAGCTAACGTACGTGGAGAGGGCCGAGGGGTTTGCTTTGATGGATGGATCGTGAGGGTTATCCTGGCAGGGCAGGGGCTGTCCTTGCTTTCCTAGACTGAGCTAGAAAACAGCAGCCAGCAGCACGGACAGTCCATTTCCATCGCCCGCTCGCCCGCTCCCCACCCCCTTTCCTTCCTCTGCAGACAGCCAGCACCCCGCAGAGCCCATGCCCACCCCACCCGGATGGACGTCGGCCGGCCGATTCCCCACTCGATCCACTCGCCGCGGCTGCGCATATCATCGACGACGGACGACGACACCTCGATCACCCCCTGTCCAATCCGCGGGACCACAGCCCCGCCGGCCGGAGCCGGACCCCCATCTGCCCCGCGCCCGCTCTGCCTGCTACCAGGACTGCTAGTAGCTCGCTCATCAGTCGCGTGAGGAAATAGCTTGCTGAGCTGCGAGAGCTAGCGAGGTTGCCTAGCTTCTTCCGGGTTCCCCAAACACACTCTCTATAAGTAGAAAGAACTAGCCGCAGCGGCAAGAGAGCTCCCTCCCCTCCCTCGCCTCCCCTCCCCTGGATCGTGTGGTGCGTGGTGCAACGACGTGCGCGCGCCCCGAGCTGGTGGGGTGAGGAGCTGCGGTCGTCGCCTCGTCGGTGACCCATTATTGCTGGGCTGGCCGTGGCCGGCCTGCTGTGGTGTGGTCTGGAGGAGGAGGACGACGAGCTAGCGGCAGGGAGGGCTCGATCGACCGGCACGCAGCGGCGGCGGCGGCCATGCAGCGCGGGGACCCGCTGGTGGTGGGGCGCATCATCGGCGACGTGGTGGACCCCTTCGTGCGCCGGGTGCCGCTCCGCGTCGCCTACGCCGCGCGCGACATCTCCAACGGCTGCGAGCTCAGACCCTCCGCCACCGCCGACCAGCCGCGCGTCGGGGTCGGCGGACCCGACATGCGCACCTTCTACACCCTCGTACGTATATTGTAGCTAGCTCATTCCATCATTCGCAGTCACAGCATCGAGGTCTCTTGTCTACTGCTGCTAGCTGCGAGCACCTACTACATGCACATTCTTCCAAGCCAGCAATTAGTAGCCTGCTGCTTAACCGCATGCCTGATCTGATTCTGATCCATCTGCAGGTGATGGTGGATCCTGATGCGCCAAGCCCCAGCGATCCCAACCTCAGGGAGTACCTGCACTGGTAATCTGCTAGCTACTGCTTCAATTCGTTCGTGCAGGAACTTGAATCTTTTGTACGCACAGCGTCTTGCATATGGTAACCAACCGGTAAGATCAAGATCGCGATCACGCTTACGCCATGTGATAAACTTGCTGTCCACCCTTCCCGTCTCTTTCTTGGAAAGACATCATACAACACACACTGTCAGGATCTTAGCCCTGTCCACATTCCACCTCGTACGGTAGTGGCGTGGTGCTGTGTACTATATATATATATAATAATAATAATAATAAACTAATCCCAGAGTATGTAGACAAGTATGCATTTCAGTATCTCATCACAGTATTTTTGACTTTTGAGGGACGATGCACAAGCACCATTTAGGCACCATCATATACAGCTTAATTACAAGTAATCAAATCCTCACATAAATATCTAAAATCACAGTTTTTCATGTGCAATCCTGCAAGTACGACTAACATCCTTATTATCCTACCTGCACAAGAACAATACCTTATTTCAAGATAATGCATGGTTAGTTCTGACAGTATATATATATATATATATATAATATGTATGTTATACTACCTCAAGTACAGTGAAATTTTGACAATTATTACCAAAATAACCACTACTCCAATAAAGTCCTAGTTGTAAATGAAATGGAATAATTCAACCAGTCTTGGTGGTGGTGGTATCCTTACACCTGCATGCAAGAAAACAGCAATTTCCTGGCAACTAAAAATGGTGCACATATATGTCTTGGATTTTCAACGACTAGCTATAGCAGGGGTATCCGTTTGGATAAGAAGCTGGGGTGTACGTCTAAATTTGCAAAATCCTAAATATTCCTTCAGTATTCTCCCACATCATTATACAAGGAACTAACCCCTTATATAGTGACTCTCATCAACCATTGCCTGGCCCTTTTGTCAGTTTAGTGTGAATACAAAGAAATATAGAATCCTCAGGTATCCCATGTGCCATTGTGTGTGTTATATTAAAACATAAGCCATCCAGAGCCTTTTTTTTTAATTGTGAATGGCATTTGATATATATCTACCTAGAGTATTAAAAATGTATCCAAGGGTATATTTGTAAGAAACATTATCCCAAGTAAAGACGTTAACTAATTGCCCTGATCACACTAGAATGTTAGTTTATGCATTTTCAAAGATTTGTCCAGAACCGTGGAAGATATTGATGCATGCTACTGCCACATGATATGATGTTTTACTAGCTCAAAGCACATGCATCAATATTTAACATAGCACCTTTTTCTCGGGCAAATTATGTGAGGTGCTAACTCATTCCAAACATCTTTTAGACTAGTGGTAGTTGAGTGCCAACGAATATAAAGAGTTTGGCAGTGTGCAAGGCTTTCCAAAATCATATCAAACATATATACCCTGCAAGTGCAATAGATTTAGATAATACCATAGCAATACCATTTGCGGGGAAAATGAAGTGGATAATCTACGTACAAATGCCCCAATATCACTAACGTGTCCTCCATCCATAATTCCTTGGAAACATCAAATTCCTAAACCATGAGTAGCCATGAAAAACTATTGGTTCAATATTTGTACTCAAAGGAGCCACGTGGATACAATTTCTTTATACTCCCTTCATCTCAAAAGATGAGGCATGCACATATTTCAAAATTCCAACTTTATTTTTGTCTTTGAGTCAAACAGTTAGCCTAATCATATGAAAGGTTTTTAGTATGAAAGTGGTAACATTAGATTTGTGTTTAGAAAAACATTCTAATGATACTTTTATAGAGAAATTAACAGTCAAAGTGTGGTCTTGAAGACCGCACCAAGCTAAATCATACCTTCTATTCTGAGACGGAGGGAGAACGAAGTAGGAGAAAATAATTCCTTCCCTATTTATAAGATTCCAGAGAACAAATCAATGCAATAAAGTAACTGTATGTCAGAGGGTGGGAAAAGGGTTATACTATTGCTTTGAGGAGAAGTAAACATAAGACCCCCACCCAAGATAGATACACCCAATAACATATTAGATAACATAATCGCCACTTAAAAAGGTAAATTATGACCCAAAGAAAACACAGCTCCTAAATCGAACATCCAACTTCAAAAAGTCACTAGCGCCAATCAATTCCCAAAGATGTGCTTACTCTCTAGCAATAAGTAACAAGTAACGTTGGACATTAGGTGACGGTCCATTGAAGACATAATCATTCCAATGCTTGTAGGCCATCCAAGAGAACAATTAGTGAATCCAAACCCTTCTTGAGTGTCTGGTTCACCAAGGAGTCGATCTTAATCTACCAATTAGGCAATAACTAATAAACATATCAGCCTCTAAACTTGGGTGACAATACTTGGAGATCTACTTGCTAAAACATGTAGAACCATACACCTATCTACCAAAACACACATGAAATGAGAATGTGTTGCATAATGTCCTCTCCTTGATCACATAAGGGCATGTTCTAGGTGTGGAAGCCCTCTCCACATAACTAGGTGGTTCTTTGTTTGGCATCTATTGTAGGTAACCAACCACAAAAAGAATTGACACTTTAAAGGGGCCCAAGTCTTCTGGATTTGCTTCCAAAATGCAAAGGAAACTGAAACAACGAAGAAGAAGGCCTAATGAGCTAATTTTGTGAAGTATTAATAACTAGAAGATGACAATTTCCATCAGTTGATCATCCCAAGTACTTGAAAATTTAGCTTGGAAATCACTCTAAGTAGAAGGTCCCTAATGTCAAGATATTTGAAGAAAGCACCAAGAGCCTTTGTATGTCCTAGAGCCAACTAAGACCTCTTACAGTGTGCACTTGTTGTCATGACACTTCAGTGCCAAGCAAGACTAGAGCCCAATAGAGGTGAGAAATCCCCCTCCCCCAAATTGATGGCCAATGCTTCATGACTCCTACCTACTTTAACAAGGGCTGCTAACTGAATATCCCAATGTACATATCAAGTAGAAATCCTACGAAACCATATCACTATACCCATTGTTCGTTCATCAACTAGCTATAGCCCAACAGCCTAATCAAGAAAACATGCATGGAATCTAGCCAGGAGCTCACGTCTAGTTAATTTATCTTTATTTAATTTTACATTACCAATTGACTACCGGAGTATATCATAATCTCTACATTAGATACCAACGATTTGTGGGAAATCTATCCATCATTTTCTGAATGAAAAATTCATTACTCTAGCATCAGTATAATTATTAATTTGCATTAGGCAAATTGGCACCCTCTACATTTTTGTTCACCCATCCCCACTGGTACAAGTCTACAAGGAAATAAGATGGCCCACAAGATCCATGATTGAATTATTGCCAAGCACCCTAACATTTGCAAATATATTGAGAATGAAAACAATGTCCAAAGGTCTATCTGTATTAGAGATGCAAGTTCTAATTACTTTGGGTCATTAGGTTGATCCAAAAACTTGCTCAAATGAACTAGAATGACATTTCATGTAACTTGAGCGAGGGGAGAAATGAACTAGAATGGCATTTGACCGTAATTAGTTAGCTAACCTAAAAACACCATTGGGTACTCACCTGCATCCTTAATTTGTACTCATGTTGTATAATGATAGCCATAACCATTTCATCCTCAGTGTCAGTGCCCAACGTCGACTTTAGATGAATATGTACTCCTCACTCGTTTGGCCAACAACATTTGGCCTAGGCAATCTGACACAATGACATTCCTTACTCTCCATATAAGAAGCCACGACGAATTAATATTATTGTCAATCGTCTCGAGCGAGATCTCAAAGGAGGAAGATCCAAGGCCATAGGAAAACAAGGTACACGTACACCACCATCGACGAAGTGAGTACAAACTTGACTTGTATTAACCTACTCGCCCTAGTCATTGAAATCTTTTCAACCCTGGATCGGAGTTGATCAGAGATACAGTCTATCATAGGTAGAATTTATGCGTTTGTCAACTTCCTGATAGAAAGTGGCAGCCCAAATACTTGCAAGAAAGGTCTTTTATCACAGCAAGTGATGCTGAACCTTTTACAGTATTCTATCATAAGGAAAATATTTTTCTTTAGGAAAAGGTATTGAAGCAGACTATATTTCCTAAAGAATAAAATAAAACTAAAAGCCTACAAAGCACTAACATATAATGATATAAAAGCTAGTTGATGATGCACATACTATTTAAAGAAACGTGCACACTTCTTTTGGTGTCGACACCACTAGCTAGTTTGATTTATAACTGTTTAAAACCAGATGGCAAATATTCGGCTAAAGATACTCATCACCTGAAACACGAGTTCTTTGTGTTGGCCCGATTGGATCTCAGATTCAGATCTGAAACTACCAGAGGGCAGCTTGGCCCTTGGCCGCTTGGATTGAATGGAAATGCAATGGCTTGTTTTTACAATGATACTCCCTTGTCCTTTATAGGCAAAGGGGACTCCCACTTCCTACAGCATATTCTAACCATTAAAGTGGATGCTGAGAATATTCCTAACACTAGACTTGGAAGCCCAGAAAAGTAAAAGTGCAGAAAAAGTAAGATACAAGTGTTTTAGCACTAGGCTTATCTATCAATCTCCCCCTAAGCCTTGTGCCGAGCACTGGAGGTGATCTGCTGTAGCCCAATCCTCTCCCTCGTCTCCTGGAACTTGGACTTCGCTAGCGACTTGGTGAGAATGTCAGACAGCTCATCAGTAGCGGCAATGTGGCTGGCCTTGATGCTTCCGTCCTCCAAGCAATCTCTGATGAAGTGATACTTGATGCGGATGTGCTTGCTTCTTTCATGGAAGACAGGGTTCTTGACCAGAGCTAGAGCAGACTTGCTGTCTACCTTCAGCTCAACCACATCCACCTTCCTGCCAAGGAGCTCTGCCAGCATCCTTGACAGCCATAGCGCCTGTGTTGCGGCAGTGGTGGTGGCGATGTACTCCGCTTCACAGCTTGAGAGGGCCACCACCTTCTGCTTGAGGGACTGCTAGCTGACCAAGCAATCACCGAGGAAGAACATCATTCCGGTTGTGCTCTTGCTGGTATCCACATCGCTAGCGAGGTTGTTGTCGCAGTAGCCGATGAACCGCTCCGTGTCGGGGGCCCTTCCGTAGTGAAGACCGTAGTCGAGGGTGCCCACCACATAGCGCAGGATTCGCTTGACGGCCTACAGATGCTCCATCGTCGACCGGTCCATGAACTGGCTCATGTACCCGACGACGAACGTGATGTCCGACCGGGTATGGACCAAGTAGCGCAAGCTCTTGATCACCCGTCGATAATGGGCTGGATTGACCTCCTCTAGCGTGCTCTCCCGACTCAGCTTGAGCTTCTCCTCCATCAGGGTGTGGGCCAGATTATAGGCCTGTCATGCCGCCGAGCTCGAGGATGCGCTTGGCATAGTGGGTTTGGCGGAGGGTGATTTCGATGGCGTCCTGGCGCACTTTGACGCCGAGGTAGAAGCAGAGGAGGCCGAGGTCACTCATGTCGAACGCTTCTTCATCTGTGCCTTGAACACCTCCACCTTCTGCTATTCAGCGCCGGTGATGATGAGGTCGTCGACATAGATGCCGACCAGTAGAACATTGTGTCCGCTGCCCCGCCGGTACACCGCTGCCTCATGTGCCCTCTACTTGAAGCCCATCTTCTTGAGTGTGGCGTTGAGCTTCGCGTTCTAGGCGCGCGGTGCCTGGCGCAGGCCATAGAGTGTCTTGCGCGGGCAGTACACCTTCCCCTCTTCTTCGGTGACGGCGTAACCAGCTGTTTGACGCATGTAGACCTCCTCCTTGAGGTCGCCATTGAGGAAGGAGACTTCACATCCATGTGGTGGACTTGCCACCCCTCTTGAGCCACCAGCATGAGGAGGACATGGGCTGACTCCATGCGCGCCATGGGGGCGAAGGCGTCGTCGTAGTCGATCCCCTCCTACTGAATGAAGCCTCGCACCACCAACCGTGCCTTATGCTTGATCACCGCGCCCAGCTCATCCTTCTTGAGCTTGAACACCCACTTCAGGGTGATAGGGTGGCGACCGTCAGGCAGTGGCACCAGCTCCTAGGTGCGGTTCTGCTCAATGGACTTGAGCTCCTGCTCCATCGCCGCCCACCACGTCGGATCACCTTGCGCCTCAGCATAAGTGGTCGGCTCACCGACGTGTGTCAGATGAAGCTGGGCGAAGAGCCTCTCGGGCTGGTCCGGTGAAGACTGATCGCCGAGGATGCTTGCCACGGTGTGGTATCGCAGAGGCTCATTGTCGTAGTTGGCGTCCAGGCGGTCTTCATCGTCCTCCAGCGGCGTGGCGTACTCAACCTCCAGTTGCCATGCGTGCGCTGGTGTCGCAGCGGGTGAGGTAGAAGATGCCAAGGAGGTCGGCTGGTACGCTAGAGAGATTGGCTACGATGATGTAGAGGTCGGAGAGATCGGCTGTGGTGCTGGAGAAGTCAGAGCTGCTATCGATGGACTGCCGACCACCACCGATGGGCTATCGAGCTCCCTCGGATTTGGTGATGGCGAATGAGGCGGAGTTGGTGAAGAGGTCGGCGCTGGTGATGAAGACCCATACGTCGATGAAGATGCACCTTGTCCTTTCTCAGCACCTCCAGCCTACACGTACTCGGAGGTGAAGTCGCGAAGCGCGATCGCCAACCCATCATCCACCACCTTGTCCCATGCCCAACCACGTCCTTCATCGAACACGATGTCGCACACCACGCGCACACGCCGTGTCGCTGGGTCGAGCACACGGTAGGCCCTAGCCCCCTCTACGTAGCCGATGAAGACCCCCCAGCGAGCTATGATCGTCAAGCTTGCCGATGTGGTTTAGCTCTTTGACAAAGGTGAGGCAGCCGAAGATGCGTAGATAGCTGACCACCGGCTTGCGCTCATGCCAGGCCTCATACGGCGTCTTGCTGTCGAGCGCACTGGTCGGAGAGCGGTTGAGCAGGTGTACGGTGGTCATCACGACCTCTCCCTAGTAGACCACCGGCATGCCACGCTGTTTGAGGAGAGTGCGCGCCGCTGCCACCACCGTCTGATTGCGGTGCTCGACCACGCCGTTCTGTTGTGGTGAGTAGGGCACGAAGTAGTAGCGCTAAATCCCCTCGTCGGCGCAGTACGCCGCGAACTCAGCTGCCGTGAATTCACCTCCATTGTCCGTGCGGAGCACCCAGAGCTTGCAGCACACTCCTTCTCCGTGGCTGCCTGGTGGCGCTTGATGGCGTTCGTAGCTGCTGCCTTGGAATCGAGCAGCACGACCCACATATAGCGGGTGGCATCGTCGACGAGCAGTTGGAAGTAGCGCCGACCACCAGGGGTGGCCGGTGACACTGGACCGCAGAGGTCACCGTGCACCAGCTCGAGCTGCTCGGTGGTGTGGTAGGAGGCTTGACGTAGGAAGGGCCGGCGCTTTAGCTTGGTCACCACACAGGTGTCGCAGAGATGTTCGACGTGATCGACGCAGGGCATGCCGTGGACCATCTCCTTCTTGCCGAGCTACTTGAGGGCTTCGAAGTGAAGGTGCCAGTAGCGCTCGTGCCAGCGCCATGCCTCATCATCCCGGCGTGCGGCAAGGCAGAGGGGGTGCGCCACCTGTGCATGGAGCACATAAAGGCGGTTGCTTCTCTAGTTCACCTTGGCGAGAAGACGACGGCCTCTATCCTAGATGCGCAGCACACCGTCCTCAATCTACGCTCGCGAGCCGTTCTCGTCCAGCTGCCCGACGCTGATGATGGAGTTCTTCAAGGCCTTGATCTCGACGGTGGAGGCGACGCCCTTGATCTCGACGGTGGAGGCGACGCCCTTGATCTCGACGGTGGAGGCGTCACCGAACTTGATAGAGCCCTTCACGCCGGAGTCCAAGTAAGAGAAGAACTCGTGCCGACCCGTCATATGGTGCGTCGCACCGGTGTCGAGGTACCAGCCGTCAATCTTGTCATCAGCGGCACCTTTGCCGAGGAAGGCATGGGCGCACGGTTCGTCGAGGTGGAGCTCGGATGAGCTAGCCGACCCAAAAAGGGGAAAGCTTGGGCCTTTCACTCCCACCCCTGTGTCTTGCTGCAGCTCGACGCACCCGTGTGCCAGAAACAGGGTGGCATCCTGCTCCTTTGCTTGCGCGACGTGAGCCTGCCCACTGTGGTGTGGAAGAAGGCGGCAGTCCTTGGCCCAGTGGCCAGTCCTACCACAGTTGTTGCAAGGTGTCATCCCGGATCGCCTTGCGCTTGCCGGCGGCGCCGCCATCAGCGCCAACCTAGCCTCGGGGTCCCTTCTCCTTCTTGTTGCCACGTGGACGCCGGCGACGCTCCTTGGAGCCAGACGAACCTGATCCTTCCCTTCTTCTTCTTGTCGAAGGCGCGCCACTGCTCCATCGTGTACAATAGCTTGCCTCCGGCGGTGCCCTGCTCGGAGTTCGGTGCTTGCTCGTGGTCTTGCACTATCTTGAGCCTCCTGGTGACGTCCTCGATGGTGAGCTGCTTGAAGTCGAGGAGCGTCTCGATCGAATTAACGATCTGCTCCATCAGATTGGAAAGACGAAGGGCAAATTCCTTGACTTGCTCACCAGGCTGAAAGGCGAGGCCTTCCCACTCCCCTCGGAGGCGCTGCAACGTCGCCTGGTGCACACAATCTCCATCGATGCGTGCCACGACGATCAGTTCCCACGCCAGCTTTGTCGTAGCCTTGTTGGTGAGGGAGGCGCCGAGCTCGGTGGGGACGGCGGCGCACAACGCCTCCGGCGCCCGGCGATCGTCGTCGTAGTCGACACTGCCGACGTGAACCGCCTCCCACAACCGTCAGGCCTATAGCTTGACCTTCATCAGCAGGCTCCACTCATGGTAGTTCGATTTGGTGAGCATCGGCCACGGCGTTCCCGCTCCGGAGTCACGGTAGACCGTCTGCAGCACCGGAGAGCAGACGCGCCGACCACGACGCCGCTCTGGTGATGACGACTGGCGGAGGCGCCCGACCGGGCTACACGATCCTCCAGTTGGCTCCGCTCCCACTCCATCTCGGCACGCAGTGCTGCGGCCGCGGCTACCGCGGCCTTGGCCACGCCGCCGCCGCCGCCGTCGCTACCTCTGCGGCAGCAAGGCGCGTCGCGCGATCGTCGGCTCTAGCACCCGCGGCGGTGCGCGCTCTTGCGACCCGGCTGACGGTGGACATGGCGCTCGCTCACTCAAGAACCCTCTCAGCTCCGATACCAGATTGTTGGCCCGTTGGATCTCAGATTCAGATCTGGAACTATCAGAGGGCAGCTTGCCTTTGGCCGCTTGATTGAATGGAAATGTAATGGCTTGTTTTTACAATGACACTCCCTTGTCCTTTATAGACAAAGGGGACTACACTTGCTACAACATATTCTAACCACTAAAGCGGATGCTGAGCATGTTCCTAAAACTAGACTTGGAAGCCAAGAAAAATAAAAGTGCAGGAAAAGTAAGATACAAGTGCTTTAGCACTAGGCTTAATTATCACTTTGAATAGTGGACAATATCTTCCCTATCACAACCGTACCTGTAATTCAAATGCATTTATAATTACATTGTCATCTATACATACGCTGATGTATATTACGAGAAACGTACCTTGCTATAGTATTATGTTTTGGGGACTTGTACTATAGATTTAATTTCCTGGGCCAGTCCAGTTCAAACACGTCAACTTGCAGTTTTATAGAAAGAAAAAACATCAACTTGACTTCGATTTTGTAGATAGAAAGCTTTGGGAAAACAGCTCATACCTCTAGGGTTAAGTGAGTTTTCATATATATAGCCCAAATTATGGCAGCGGAAGTAAAAGAATCATAGAATCTGGAACTCGTGATACAATGTAGACAGATAGAAAGAATTGGGAAAACACCGCCTCACAACCCTAGTGTTAGATGACCTTTAGTATATGTAGCCCAAAACAGTTTATGTTACAAATCTATACATGCTACGACACGTATACATCTAATAAATTTCTCGAACCTCAATCATGATCTGATAGTATCCCGTATACGAAGATGTGCTAAATCAAAATTACATTGATCTTCTGTTGCAGGCTGGTCACTGACATTCCGGCGACGACTGGAGTTTCTTTTGGTATGTACTACAAACGATCTAGGAACCAACATATTCTCAGATTGATTTCCATTGGTAGCTGCTAATGCCATTGGATATTCCTGCTTGAACAAACAGGGACGGAGGTTGTGTGTTACGAGAGCCCACGGCCGGTGCTGGGAATCCACAGGATGGTGTTTCTGCTCTTCCAACAGCTCGGCCGGCAGACGGTCTACGCCCCAGGGTGGCGGCAGAACTTCAGCACCCGCGACTTCGCCGAGCTCTACAACCTCGGCTTGCCGGTCGCCGCTGTCTACTTCAACTGCCAAAGGGAGTCCGGAACTGGTGGGAGAAGAATGTGAACTCGATCCGGGTGAAATAAGATGATGGGTACGTAGTTGGGTATATTGTATATACGTGTGACAACATGGAGAAAATTAAAAAAACTGCAAGATGTCTGCTTAAAAAAAATAACTCCAAAATGAACTATATATTGTCTAATTAGTTCAGTTAGTCCATATGCTAGCCTTTGGTTACATTTGGGTGGAGTGTATATGATATTATTTGTGGCAGATTGGCGCATTCTGTGGCGCATATATTTGATAACTATATATATGTATTTATTTATATATAAAAGCAAGCAATATTATGCATAGAGGGCTCAGCCGCATCAGTCAACATGATTTCTGTCTCTCCCTCACATTAACATCACAATTCAAAAAAGGAGATGTATGTCTCTCCTTTATACTGTGACTACTTATCTAGATCATCTGATGACTACTATATGCATGCTTGCTAGCTGACTGGTCGAGCTGCTGGATGCAGCTAGCCATGCATGCAGAGAAATGAACCCACAAATGCCGACAGGTACAAGGGAGATGAGCAGCTGCTTCTTCCCACCATTTAAGGCTTGTTTAACCATGTGCCCAGAAAAAGGGTACATGGAATTTGTTGAGTGGGCATTTTACTGTTGTAAGCTAGTCTGTGATCTGTCGGCAGAAGTTCTGTTGAGTCTGTCTTCAGAAGTGGCTTGGCTAACCACGTGCCCAGCAAAGAAAAAAAAAAGCTAGCCACTCAATCGAGCAGACAGATAAATCATCTGGAGGACAACAAGGGCAGGGATCAGATGATGATGATGGATTGGGGAAGAACGTGTGTACCTTCTCTTTCCTTTCCTTTTATTGGAGGGAAACAAACGGCCGTAGCTGCTGCTTCTTTTTTTTCTTTGAGAGAGAACGAGAAGAATGAGGCCAGTTGCACTCGAGACCCCACCCAACGGCCTGCTACCGGCCTTTAATCGAACAGCCCATGAGCACACAAAATTAGGCCTCACGGGGGAGGTCGGCCCAGCACACTCCAGAGTCTAAGAACTGAAATTCCTAGCACAGCTTCATCAAACAAAGAATTCCCCTCAAAAAAAATAAATCAAACAAAGAATCGAGTAAAAATCAGAGCAAAGACTCCTTTTTTGCGATTAAAAGATTCCGTTGCTCCTTCTGGAATAAGAGCAAGTTAAGATACAGATCAAAGACTAATAACACCAAGACCATAAGTACTTGCATCCGAGTTATGTATATTCTATACTGTTCTCTTCTCTAAGGTCTGAGGGCACATGGAAAGATGAGCTATCCTATCCTGAAGCCAGGGTCGGCCAGTCGTAGCATGGCAACAATTACAATCTTGACGATCCAACTGAAGAGTAACTCCCAAAACAGTCCTTATTCAGCTTGTAGCCCTATTGGCGATACCTGACAGAGTAACGGGTGAGCCATACTTCTGGTTGGGGCCAAATGTTGGACGAAAACTGAGGAAGGGGCAACCAGGGGGACAAATACTGAAGTTATCATGAAGGGAATGGAGATGACTCTTCAAGTGGAAGCTGGTCTGTGGGCTTTAGCTCCCAGCTGCGTAGATTTGTGTCTGTCGAATCAGACTTCGAAATGTACAGGGCCTTGTTGTGGAACTTGTGAAGTGTTTTCCGGTGTCCGATGCTTATGTAAGTAATGCCTGCAGCTTCAATCTGACTGTATAGATGAGCCTGTGGCACAAATAAAACTAGTTAGAGTTGACTTCAAAGTAGGTGTGAGTACACAGTACATTAGTTCTTCATCCATACAAAGGGATGCCCTGGAACACCAAACCCCTTCCTTTTCTTCTACTCTGCGATGGGTGAAAACATTTGTGCCACTCGGTGGGCTATGAATCTATGACTACAGTGTTTCATAACAAGCAAGCAAAAAAAAGTAGAGCAGAGTAACAAGAATTCAGTTTACCTCATTTGCTTCATCAAGTGCGCTTGTCGACTCATCCAGTAGGACCAAAGTGGGTGTAGCAAGTAACAACCGGGCGAATGCAAGACGCTGCTGCTCCCCCAGCGAAAGAACACTGGCCCAGTCATGCATAGAGTCCAAGCCATTAAAACGAGGCAATATGTAGCCCAACTTAACAACCTCAAGGACTTTGATCAGTTCAGACGTTGTGGGCACCTCAGATTTGGCACTGACTCCATCTGATGTGGAGACTTCAGACAGAAAAGGAAGAGGATCTGCTATTCATTTTAAAAGGAAAAGGATTTAGGATAAATGCACATGCATATTTCAGGAAAATGCTGCCATGAGTACCTTTGCACGTACATTTAATAGTTTTTTTTTCCTGAACACACTCCAAACAGATTTAAGTAGTTTCGTTCGACATCCTACGACTAACAATTTTGAGCAACATAAGAAGAGCTACCTGAATTTTGAGCATCATTATCTGGTGAGTGATGAGCCTTTTCAGTCCATGTAGGATAGAGCAACTGTTGACGAAGTGTTCCCAAAACCATATATGGTCTTTGTGGGACGAAGAATATGCCATTATCTCTTCTTTGCTTGGAACTTCGCAACAATTCTCCACCTTCTAAATTCATGTTGGATGGCTCATCAGAACTTGAATTTGATTTTTGAAGCTGCATAGAATTTCTCACATGGTATATGATCTCCCCAGTACCACTAGTCCAGAGGCCAGCCAAAGCACGTAATAGTGAGGTCTTCCCACTTCCACTAGGTCCCATCACCTAAAGTGAAAATAAGCATAGCACCTCAGTGATCAGTCAAGTGTCAGAGCTAACATTTATTTTGCCAAATGTGCAAGTAGTTAAAGAAATGAAATACCAGTAGGTGGTCCTTGTCTTTTAGTTCAAAAGTGAGTCCAGTAATAAGAACATTTCCACTTCTTGGTGTTAACAATGTCAAATTACGAATTTCCAGAACCATGCTTTGATCAGACTGTGTTAGTGATCCATTAGAACTAAGAACAGAAGGACCATTGCTTTTGAAAACAATGTTGATCCCATCAATGCTATCACGTTGAGATGATGGAGAGGATTCATTTCCATCCAATAGATCATCAAATTCACCTATATTAAGAAGAATTTATAGTTAACAGAGGGAGGGAGGGAGGCAGGAAGGGCCGAAGCGAGAGAAGGGAGGAGAGAGAAGTCACCTAGACGATCGATAACTGCTGAGAACGCACTAATTGACTGAAAATGGAAAACAATGAGAGAAAAATCACCGAGGATATGATTGAAAGCAGACACCGATTGGTTTATTACTCCAAACTTAATTTTCCCTGAGAAGTACATTGGAGCAACAACTGCAGCTGGCAGAATCTGAATCAAATATCGATAACCATTGGTGAAAAACTCCAGATTCCGAGAAGCTATCAGCAATTTCTGCAACATAAAATAAAATATATGAACTGGCCAGCCTGGAAAAATAATTAACAGCAGGAATTTATAGCTAAATATAAAAATACAGAGCAGCTGTGTGGTGATAATTCAATGGTAGAGCACATAAAGAGCCAGTTACTCCAGCAAAAAAGAACTCAACCAACCTACAAAGAACTATGTGGCATGTAAATAAGAATAAAATAGGCACCCAAATTCGAGTTGAAGAGGACTCGAACCTGGGTGGTAGGGGTGTAGACCCACACCTCCCCAGGCTCTGTTACTCACCTGCCACAGAATCACCATTATTAAAGTTTGTTGGAATATCTCAGAATCAACGACTTGTATTTGATTATTACAAAAGAAAATTTATTGCCCAAGAGGTATGATCTACATGATTATCAGATCTTGTTGCAGAGAAAGCCAAGATATAGAAATACAAGTAATCTGCTATACTAACGCCGAACATCATTTGGCAAAAGAAAATGACGAAAGATATTTCTGCTAACTCAACGCTGTTTGCATATTTGAACAGCCCAAGCAAATTACATAATATTTGTTTCTAGAAAGACAAAGGAAGGACTGAAAACAAGAAGTTCTGTTTGTTCTTGTCAAGGGCGTCGAGGGTTAAGGTAGGCACACCCCGGCTACGTAGTTCGTAGCCGTGATCCGTGTTGGGGCGAGGTTTTACCCCTCAGCGCCCGTTTGGTTGAGAGAGGGAGAGAGAGATAATTGTTCTTGCTTGATTCTCAAATGATGGATTACAAGGACTCTTATAGGCTATAACCTTGACAGACTCTAACAAATCACTCCTAAATTAGAGGATCTCTTTCCTTTATTCTAGCCATTCACTTGATTGACTTCCCTTCATTCTAGCCACTTCCTAAACCGACACCTGGGCTGGCGCCTGCCGTGGTGACCGCGGCGGCCATGTCGCTCTGGCGCGCTGCTGCACGCCTGGCATCCCGGGCCCTTCTATTCCTGGCATATGTGCGTCCCCACATGACATCTCTCCCCCCGTCGAGGAGCAGCTCGTCCTCGAGCTGGAAGTCCGGATACTTGGCGGTGAAAGCCTCGACATCTTCCCATGTAGCTGATGCAGCCGACTCGCCCTTCCATTGGACAAGTACCTGGCGCACACCGCGCGCCAAGCGTGCCCGCACGGCCCGCTCCGGCTCTGGAACCGACGCTCCATGGTGGGTGGGGGGCAGCGGTGGTGGAGCATCCGGTCCGGGGCGGCCCGCAGAACTTCTTGAGGAGACCGATGTGGAACACATCGTGCAGCCAAGCGCGAGGCGGAAGGGCCAAGCGGACAGCGACATCATTGATGAGTTCGACGACGCGGTAGGGCCCGAAGTAGCGCGGCTTGAGCTTGCTAGTGACCGCCTGGGGAATGGACGACGCAACCCGCTGACGAAGACGGAGGAGGGCCCAATCACCCACCTGATATGCGACATGATGATGGAGCTTGTCGTAGTGCTTCTTCTGGACCACCTGTGCCTCCTCCAGGCGATAACGGATGTCCGCCAGGAACTCGTCACGCTCCTCCATGTTCCTGGCGACGACGGCCACCCGTGTGTCCCCTGGTTCATAAGACCTGATGGTTGGAGGGTCACGCCCGTAGACGACACGGAACGGCGTCTCCCGCAGCGAGGACTGGTAGGCGGTGTTGTAGACGTACTCCGCCCATGGCAACCAGCGCAGCCAATGTCGAGGGCGATCACCGGTGAGGCAGCGCAGGTACATGATGATGACGCGGTTGGCAGCTTCTGACTGGCCGTCGGATTGAGGGTGGAAAGCCGAGGTCATGTGGAGTTTGGCGCCCATCAGGCGCATGAGCTCGCGCCAAAATGTCGAGGTGAAGACCGGATCGCGGTCAGACACCATGGACTGGGGAACTCCGTGAAGCCGCACGATGTCGGAGAAGAAGGCTTGCGCGACGGACTCGGTGGAGTACGGGTGTGCCAGGGGAATAAAGTGGCAATACTTGCTGAACCTGTCCACCACCGTCAAGATGACAGACTTGCCACAGACGCGCGACAATGCCTCCACGAAGTCGAGCGCGATGTCCATCCAGACACCCTGGGGAACTGGTAGGGGAAGTAGCAGCCCTGCCGGGTGGAGGTGCTCCGATTGTACCTCTGACATGTCGTGCACGAGCGCACAAGGTCTTGCACCAGCTGTCGCATGTTAGGAAAATGAAAGTCGCGTCGGAGGCGATGTAGTGTGCGCTGGACCCCTTCATGCCCGTCCTCGTGCACGGCCACCATGATCTCCTGGACGAGCGGGGACGCCGAGGGAATGTAGAGGCGGCCACCGAACAGGACCATGACGTCGACGAGCGTCCATGGTACGCCGCGGGAGCCTGCACGGAGCTCGTCCCGTATGGCGACGAGGACAGGGTCGGTGTCCTGCGCTTGATGGAGGCGCGTGACGAAGTCAAAACGCAGGACGGAGATGGCGACAAGGACCCCCTCGTCCGTGTCACGGCGAGACAAGGCGTCTGCCACCACGTTCGTGGCCCCCGGTTTGTACTCGATGGAGAAGTCGAAGCCCAACAGCTTCCCCACCCAGTGGTGCTGGGGAATCGTGGCGAGACGCTGATCCAACAGGTACTTGAGGCTATAATGATCCGTCTTGATGATGAATCGGCGACCCCAGAGGAACGGTCGCCAGTGCCGGATGGCGTGGACGAGGCCGATGAGCTCCTGCTCATAGGCGGCGAGGGAGCGATGGCGTGGCGTGACGGGGCGACTGAAGAACGCAATCGGGTGCGCGTCCTGGATGAGCACTGCGCCGAACCCGTGCGAAGAAGCGTCGCACTCCACGACGAAGTCCGTGGCGAAGTCCGGCATCGCCAGGATCGGGGCCGAGGTGACCGCCGCCTTGAGCGCGTCGAAGGCCACGGCTGCTGCGTCGGTTCAGGAGAACCCCTCCTTGTTGAGGAGGGCGGTCAGCGGCACGGCGACGGAGCCGAAGTTGTGGACGAATTTGCGGTAGTACCCGACCAAGCCAAGGAAACCGCGCACCGCCCACGCCGAATGAGGCACCGGCCAGTCATGGATGGCCTGCACCTTGGCCGGATCCATGGCGACGCCCGCCTCGGAGATGACGTGACCGAGGTAGGAAACAGAGGCAACGCCGAAGGCGCACTTCGCCCGCTTGATGAAGAGATGGTGCTGGCGCAGCATGGAGAGGACAACGCGGAGGTGGCGAAGATGGTCGGCCCATGTCTTGCTGTATATCAAAATGTTGTCAAAGAAGACAAGAACAAACCGGCAGAGGAAGGAGCGCAAGACGTCGTTCATGAGCGCCTGGAATGTCGCTGGGGCGTTGCACAGCCCGAACGGCATCACCAAGAACTCGTAGAGGCCCTCGTGTGTGCGGAACGCCGTCTTGTGTACATCACCCGGCCGCATGCGAACTTGGTGATACCCTGAGCGAGGGTCCAACTTGGAGAAGAATCGGGCGCCGTGGAGTTCGTCGAGCAGTTCGTCCACTACGGGAATGGGGAACGCGTCCTTGACGGTGAGGGCGTTCAGGGCGCGGTAGTCGACGCAGAAACGCCAGGATCCGTCCGCCTTCCTGACGAGGAGGACCGGCGAAGAAAACGCCGACGCGCTATTGCGGATGATGCCCTGCGCCAACATGGTGGCGCATTGCCGCTCCAACTCGTCCTTGTGGGCTGCAGGGTACCGGTATGGCCGGACCGCCACCGGCTGCGCGCCCGGCTTGAGGACGATGCTGTGGTCATGGGCGCACGGAGGCGGGAGCCCCTGGGGCTCAGCGAAGATGTCCTGGAAGGATGCCAGCAGTTCATCTAGGAGGGACTCGCTAGCGATCGTGGTGCGGACGGCGGCCGCGCTGGTCGTCGCCACTCCCGTCCAGCACACTGCGCGCCCTTGACGCTGGAAAGACATCTTCCGTGCGCTGAAGTCCTAGAGCATCGGCCCCAAGGTCGCCATCCACTGCGTGCCGAGGACCAGGTCGTACCCGGCGAGTGGCATCACGAAGAGATCGACGCGGAACGTGTCGGTGCCAATGGTGAGCGGTGCCTGCCGAATGACGCCAGGGCAGGAGACACGCTCTCCATTCGCCACTGTCGCCGTGAGTCGTGGGCGACGCTGCAGAGGCAGACTGGTGTGGAGAGCCGCGTCCTCGGCAATGAAGTTGTGCGTGGATCCCGAGTCGAGGAGCGCGGTGAAGACGGCAGCACCCACGGCCACCTGGATCTGCATGGTGTCATTGAAAGACACCCCAGCGATCGTGTTGAGGGAGAAGTGCGGGGTCTCCTCGCTGGCGGCGTCCTCATCCGCAGCGGCCCCATCGTCGGTGTCATCCTCGATGACGCTGTCGAGGAGGAAGAGCCACTTGCAGACCCGATTGTGCCCGCGGCCGAACTTTTCATCGCAGTTGTAGCAGAGGCCGAGACGACGACGCTCCTCCTGTTCTGCCTGAGTCAGCCGACGAACCGGCCGGCCCTCCACAGTGATCGTGGCCGGCACAGCCTTGTCCGCCTTGTCGCCCGGGGCACCGGCAGTGCGAGTCGCGGTGCGGGCGCCGACAGGAGCAGCCGATCGCGCTGGGGAACGCGTGCCGCGGGCGCGACGTAGCTGTTCCGCAAGTCGATGTTGCGGGCGAGGCTCATGGCCACCACCAGCGACTAGGGATTGTGGATCTCCACATCATGGCTGAGCGGTGGAAGGAGGCCAGCGGTGAACAGCTGGACGCGCTGTGCCTCATCCAGGCGGCCCGCGCGAGGTAGCAGGGCCTGGAACCGGTCTTGGTACTCCTCCACGGTACCGGTTCGGTGGCAAGCCGCCAACTCGCCGAGGGGGTTGGAGCGGAGGGGAGGACCAAAGCGCGGGTGAAGGAGCTCCGTGAAGCGGCGCCAGGAAGGAGTACCCTCGTCCTGCTGGACTTGGTAGTACCACAGCTGGGCGCCGTCCTCGAGATTGTACGACGCCATCCAGACCTTCTCCTCCTCCATGATTCGTTGTTGATGAAAATAAGATTCACAGCGGTTGATGAAGATCAGGGGATCCGACTTGCCATCGTAGCGTGGAAAGTCGAGCTTTTGGAAACGCGGCGGCCGATCTTGGTGGTGCTCCCCCGACCCGGAATGTGCGGAAGATGACGATCCCCCCGGCGGCGGGCGCGCGGAGTCCAGGCGCTGGATGGCCAGGGCGTTGGCCTCCACGGACGTCTGGAGGGTCCTGATGGACGCGACTAGGGAGTCCAAAGTCGCTTGCAAGGCCGCGGTGTTGATGGTGTTGTCGGCCATGGCGTCTACTCGAGGTGATGGTGACGGCGCGGCGGCAGATGGTGGAGGGGCGGCTGGAGTTGGCGAACTGGATGAACTGGATCGCCTAGACCGTGATACCATGTTGTCAAGGGCGTCGAGGGTTAAGGTAGGCGCACCCCGGCTACGTAGTTCATAGCCGTGATCCGTGTTGAGGCGAGGTTTTACCCCTCAGCGCCCGTTTGGTTGAGAGAGGGAGAGAGAGATAATTGTTCTTGCTTGATTCTCAAATGATGGATTACAATGACTCTTATAGGCTATAGCCTTGACAGACTCTAACAAATCACTCCTAAATTAGAGGATCTCTTTCCTTTATTCTAGCCATTCACTTGATTGACTTTCCTTCATTCTAGCCACTTCCTAAACCGACACCTGGGCTGGCGTCTGCCGTGGTGACCGCGGCGGCCATGTCACCCTGGCGCGCTGCTGCACACATGGCATCCTGGGCCCTTCTATTCCTGGCATATGTGCATCCTCACATGACAGTTCTAGTTATGGTCAGTTTCCAAGCTTCATACTCTATTCCAACTGCCATTAATTAATATGGTTACCATCACCGAAAGATAACTAGTTTAACATGGTTTGCAATGTATTTGAAACTAAAAAAAGGCAATGAAGAAATAATAAACAAGAGTAGATGGCAAAAGTACAGTAATGCTTACACTTAGGTTCTCAAAAGCCCTCCTGAACCGATCCAATAAAAGTTTGCAATTCATTTTCCTCACCACCATAAAAAGCAATCGATTCAGCATTTTCTCTAACACGGACAAGTCCGTAACGAAAATCAGCTTCTTTCTTCTCTTGCATGAAGTTCAAGTTGACCAAATTCTGTTGATGCAAGCATAAGCAACTATTGGTTGTGTTGACATAACTCTATGCAAATTATATATGATTGACAAGTACATACCTTACCAAGGAAGACACTAATAGCAGTACCCCCAAGAGAGTAGACAACAAGAACAATAAACAATGGTGGGTAGATTCCATAGAGGATGTTGCTGAATGATACCAAGTCCACAGCAGCATTGAAAAGTGTGAGAGAGAATGCAAGTGCTGTTCCAGTGAATACGCTGAGATCATCATTTATCCTTTGATCTGGATTGTCAATTATTGATTGAGATTGAATCTTGTAAAAGGTTCTGTTTTTAAAGTAACGCTTCATATAATAACTTGTCATCCAAGATCGCCATCTCAAAGAAAGAGTTTCTCTTGCATAGTCTCTCAAGACAAAGAACTGCATAACAGTGAGAGAAATTTTGATACGATGAGTTGAGAAACAAGAATATTAGGTTTTTACAAACACAAATAGAAGGCACTGGAATATTAAACAAAGGAAGTATGTTTGCCTATTAATAGATGCAAATACAGGCAGTACAGATTGCCCATAAAAACTGCCAGAAACCACAAATGAAGTTTAAGGATGTGGCAGCTTAGCCATTCAGCGCAGAAATTAGAGCATTCAGTGCTACAGCTTCTGCATGGACATATTGTTAAAAGGAGGAGATAAGCAGCTGGATTTCAGGAAAGAAAACCACCAGTAACTTTTTAATGGTGTCTTTGGGACATCTAGGGGGAGAACTCAAAGCCTTGGATCTAGACAGACTAGGCAAACAAGTGGTTTGGATTGTACAAACGGCTTCCATAAAACATAAACTGCATATTAAGCCAAATTATTGTTAAGGATGCTTATTAGTTTGCATGATAGAGACAGCTCCTGGTACAATATGAACCACTTGTGTAAATTGTTAATTGTAGAGATCTTTGGTCATGTTCCCTTCGAGATATTAGTACAATATTGTGCTACAGAAAAGTTGAGAAACTTGAGAGAATGGAATATACCAAAGAACTATCTTTAGATAGGAGTGCTGAGTGCATGAAAATCAGCAATTCACATGTCCAAACCAAGAGTTAGGCTATTGGTGTCTGTTATTGTTAATACTGATACTGTTATTACCTCCCTCTCCCTCTACTGTGGCTTTTGTTGGTACCAACTTGATTGGGACTGAAATGCTCTATCATTGTTGTAGTTATCGTGTTGGTGTTACGAAATGGTCGCTGATAGGGAAATGGAATTTTGCATAAAATGTAAAATATTAGTCACATGCTAACACTTCGCTACTCCAGCCAAGGTAGTACAAATAGTTGTAATGGGCTAACAGCATGAAGAGCAACACCTACAAAAGAGCAGCAATATGCTCACCAGAATTCCTCCAGCAAAAGCACCCAGGTAGTAGAGCAGTTGCGTGGTAAACTTGTGTTGATCCTTATCTTGCAAAAGAAAACACAAAACATGTATAAGCAAACAACCCAAGAGGCTATTGTACAACCAATTTGAATAGTACAAAATGAACCTTTAGCCATAGGGAGACTTGTTTATATGGTCCAAATGTGGTGGGATGGTGAAAGTGCAAAGGCCTTTGGACCTAGGTGGCTTGGGTATCCAGGAACCTGGAAATTATGGGATGGGCTTTACAAATGAAGTGGTTATGGTGGCAAAGAACTTAAACAAATAGAGCATGGTCAGGTTTGGAAATCCCCTCTCATCCACATGCCCGAAGAATGTTTGCAATCTCGATGATAACAAGCGTGGGCTATGGAAGAAACACCTTATTCTGGACAGACCGTTGGTTACATGGTTGCTCCCTAGTAGACATGGCACTAGAGGTTGCAGCCTGTCTGCAATCAAGGATCCTAAAAACTCGCATGGCCGAGGAGACGTTGGACAACCGGGTGTGGGTACAGGACATACGTGGTGGCCTTTCTCTTAATGGTCTGATAGAGTTCCTCAAACTTTGGGATGCTCTTCTGAATTTTACCCTCACAAATGATGATGATCAGTATCATTGGAAGTATGACATATCAGGTTCCTTCTCTAACAAGTCAGCATACAAATCTTGGGCACCAGAAAAGTGCAAGATGTTCCTTTGGCTAGCCATAAAAGATAAATGCTGGACAGCAGATCAGCTAACAAAGAGGGGGCTTCCTCATCCAGATAAATGTCTACTCTGTGACCAAGAAGAAGAAACTATTCAGCATATTCTTACAACATGTGTCTTTGCAAGACAATTTTTGGCATAGTGTGCTCTCTCCACTTAATTTACAGCAGCTGGTACCTAATAGAACGGAACATAGCTTTGCCACTTGGTGGAGGAAAATCAGCAAAGGAGTTGGTAAAGAACACAGGAAAGGAGTAAACTCCGTCATTTTGGGGGCATGGATTTTTTGGAAGCAATGAAACGCCTGTGTTTTTTATGGAGCTTCACCAAGTGTCTCAACCTCATTGAGAAACTTGCAGTTGGAGGGACATCTCTGGGTTCTGGCTGGGGCCAGAAACCTCCAAAACCTTGAACTAGGGCGTCTTGGGCTCTAGGTCCAGTGCAATTTGTTAGTCGGGTTGATTTATTGTAATCTCAGAAAGGCTCTTCTATTTGTTTTGTTTTACCCCCTCTTACCTTGGTCCTAGTAAAAGGGGTTTTGTAAGGACCACTCTTTTTTTCCTATATAATACAAAGATACGCAGCTCTCCTGCGTGTTCGAGAGAGAAAAAATGTCATTATTTTTGCCATCGGATACAAAGATCACCGAAATCTAAATGAGATAATTATTTTTTTATAATGAATAACCCTTTATGTGCTTTAAAGAAACACCTCCTCCCCTTATCCTAAATTCGTAGTCTTATCAAATGTGCTGGCTATTCTGTGTTTGAGTATGTATCCAGAACGTTACTACTAAATTTACAAAAGCATAGCAATTTTAACAGAACACCAAGCCATACCAGCAAGGGCATTGTAGAAGTCACGACCGAGGAAGTTAAATCCAACATTAATCCCTGTGGTTCCCAATGTGAGAGCAAACACAGCAGCAAGCCTCAGCCTTGCTTGGGTTTTATCCTCAGACCACCAGTAGGGAGCAGCAACTTTCCAAAATCTTGTAGCTAGTGTCTTGAGGTCTGTACCATCTCTCTGCAGGTACCAGCAAGACACCAAAAAGAGAAGTTCACATTCATCAGCACTTAGCAAATAGCAATGAACCAGAAGTGACTTGTAACATGAAACAAACCAGAAGTGACAGATGTAATCTATGTTTCCACATCTTCTCCGCGAAAGAGTGATGAGCAATCACAGAGCGTTAAAACATACTCACAAACTAGAATTGCATCTAAACTACGGTAGTGTATCTCAGAGCTTGTAAAGTTTGACAATTATCCAATCAGTTGAAGCACGCTAAGACATCACAAGGATCATGCATCCAGATTTGAACTTGGCTTAATTAAGAAAAAACGCACAGGCACGAGATTGTGCCAATTTCATTGATAGAGAAGGGTAACTTAGCATAATTAGGTACAGGCATCTATCTACAAAAGCATCTAATTAACAGTCACTTGTCGCCAAATTTATTCTCATCTAGCACACACCTCGAGGCTCCAGTGAACCTGATCCTCACACCAGTCGAACAAGTCCACAGCGAAATCTATCTATACAGCGGTACAAAACTACAAGCCAATGCGGCAGTGGCACCGCGAAGCGAAACCTGGAGACGCGGATTCTGAACAGTCCACTACTACTACTACGAAGACTAAAATCAAAGTGAACTAAACAAAGCGAAGGCCGAGCCGATGACGCGCAGATGCCCAGAACCGGGTAGAGTAGAGAAGCCAGCAAAGCCTCACCTTTTCCTGGGCAGCGGCCGGAGGTGGCGCGGCCCTGCGGCGACCGCACCGGCGCATGATAGAGGTCACGGCCGGAGGAGGGGGCGGGAGTCCGCGGCGCCGCGCCGCTGAGCGAGGAGCGAGGACGGACGCGAGGCGGTGGGGTGGCCGCGGCAACAGCAGAGGCGGTAGTTGCGGAGGCAGCGCAGTGGAAGGGAAGCATATGGGAATGGGAGTAGATAAAGGTTCTCTCCATCAACAACGCTCAAAATACAAGACCCGAGCAGCGCTACGTCAATAACTGTTCGACGTCTTCTCCGACGTCCAGACCCATACGTTTCTTGTTGGAGACAGTCTCCGCATCCTTTTTGCCTTGCCTTTGCCGCTTCCCCTTTGTTGTTTGGTATAGGTTCTGGGTGCTTCCCTCCCGTGTCTTGTCTTGCGTGCTCTCGGCGTGGGGAGCAATGGCGCACGCCACAGCGGAGGAGGGGGCAGCCAGCCGGGAGGCAACCAGGCAGGCAGGCTGGCGGCGGAGGGAGCCAGGGAGGTGGTGGTTCGGCAGTTCCGCCGCGGCGGGCTACGGGCCTACGGCTACGGTTGCTTGTTGCTACATAGATGAAGCCGCTGACGCGTGGGTCCTTGATGAAGTCACTGTGGTAGTGATAGTGGCCAGGAGGACGGACTCACGTCGCGGCGGGGACGAACGGCGGGGAGGTGCCAGCTACACCACACGCAGCCTATCCACGTTCTGCCGCTCGCACAACGAACACGGACAAGGAGTTTTCTTAGGGCTTTCCCCAAGGCACCTGGCTGGCGTACTGCCCCAAGTTCCATCTCAGCATCCATCGTCCATGTCACAGCAAACGGTGGTCTCGCAGAGGCCTCATCTAACGAAAAGTTGAGGCCACAACTCAGTCTCGCGTTACAGAGGAAGGGTGGTGTCCTAGCACCGGTACATCCTCTGAAACCGGTACATCCTCTGAAATAGGCTGCAGAACCACGCCTTATTCGTTTAAATTTATCGACCCGGCTTATCAGCCATGATACACATTAGTCGGCTTATCAACCGCACAACTTATGTGTAATAGAGTGTGTGTGTCTGCGTTGGGAGGATGTGAGTTCTCTTTACTGCTTGCTTATGTGTAATGTATTTTTTTCATAAGGCTAACAGCTTTGTTCGCCCGCGTTGGTGGTGCCCTTAGCGGCCATACCAGACATGGTTTTCTACTAAAGTCCTCGATATATATACATATACTAGCAAAATTGTTCGTGCATTCCTATAAGAGAAAAAACGTTGTTGATGTTAATAGGAAGCAAGGAGAAAAAATGTTATCAATATTAATAGGAAGCAAGGACAAAAACATTACATATCTATTTATCTTTTATATTATATCATTCTATAAAATTTTAAATCTATAATTTATTTTATGGTGACCATGACATCCACGACGTAAGTTAATATCGACGTTACTAATATGACAATATCCTATTAAGGTTGTATCGAATTAAACATAATTTTGACAGATTTTTTTCCTATATTGTAAGATAAAAAATATTTACTTATAAATATACCATAACTTTAATTTTCATAATACCCATGTATCTGTGTTGTTAAATATTGAGTTCCTTGGCTTTCTCTGAGGAACTGTAAAAATATATAATTTTAATATATGATTATAGTCGGTGACAACTTAGTTGATACCTATCAAGGATTGGTCAGTCTGTTCATGATTATAATGGATACCTCTCTCTATTTTCATGTGGTAGCCCTGGTAGCCCTGGTCTGATTACGCTGGTATATGCATATAACTTGTAGATACATTTATTTGGATTAGATTGTTAATAAACTGCTCAACGTTTCAATTCACAGTTTTATTGTTAATTGGACCATCCTCGGATCATGTTCTAATAATAAGAATAAATTTTCGCTAATACTTAGACACAGGCGTCCGACCCTATCCGGATGCTCTCTTCATGGGCCTGCACAGCGGACAACTCAACAGGTGTGTTGTTCCCCATTGCAATCGCATCTGGCTGTCGGAGCATCACCGCGCATCCGCCGCCACACTGCTCCCTTCCTCCACCGCGCGCCCGTCCCTGCGCACGCAGCGACCTTCCCCCTGCCACGCCGCACCTCATCGCGGCCGCACCGCGCCACCATCCCGTGCCTCAACCCTATCACCGGCACGCCCCTGTCCACCTCATCTATTGCGGCCATGGCGGGCACCACGCCACCACCACCCCAGCGCCACCATGAGTAGGTCGCCGCTGGTCTGGACTTCATCTCCCGCGGCAGGAAGAGGAGACCTGCGCACGTTGGGTTGTTTGTCCTCAACGTTCCCTCTGCACCTGAGCTTGCTGGTTACCGCAATCCCCAACCAGGTAGGCCATGGCTGCCGGCGACGCCGTATTTGAAGTGTTTCAAGCGTTTCCCACTTATGTTTCAAGTGTTTAATCTAAGTGTTGCAAAAGTCGATCTAGAATGTTGCATATGTTGCAATGGTAATATACGCATGTTGCAAGCGTATGTTTTAAGTGTTTTAGGTGTTTCAGACGTTTATTTTAAATGTTTCATCTGGATGTTTTAAAATTTGATCTGGTGTTGCACATGTTGCAATCTCACATGTTTCAAGTGTTTCATTTGTTTTCAGACGTATGTTGCAAATGTTTTATCTGGATGTTTCAAAAGTAGATCTTGTGTTGCGGGCCGCTGTCCACTTGCTGCTGCTGGTGTGCCGTCGTGGTTCACGTGGCGGTGCCTGAGGCCTACAGATGCCTCCACAACGCGTATCCACAAGCAGGCCAGGTGGACATGGGCGTGGTTCCTCCGTGCGGACGCGGATAGACGCGGGGGCGTGGTTTTGCCGTGCGGGGCGCGGGCCGTGGTTCCAGACTCTGGCGTTGGTTGGGAATGGGACGAAGCGCGTGGGATGCGATGTGGGCGCGGGGCGCAGGAGCTACCTCCAGACGCGGGCCTGGGGCCGGACGTCTGGGCGCTAGCCTTACCCATAAATTAATTTTATTCCTAATCACAGCTACATCAACAATTCAGTGAGGAGAGTATTTATTTATAGGAAAGAATCTAGAGTTCAAAGAGCAGTAATATTATATTTATTGTTTTATTGTATTTATAGAAAAGTTTAGAGTTCAAAGAGTTATAGTATTACATTGATTATTTATTTTTTATGTTTATATATGGAAAAAAATAGGAGAAAGAAAAAGAACAAGGACCGAACCGACGATAAAAACAAAGAAGAAAAGTGTTTTCGTGGGTGGACAGGCTGGCGTTTCCATGGTTGGCTAAACGGATGGTTAACAGACACGGAAACCCACTTGGACGCGAGAAATACGTAAACAGTAACCGAGTCGATGTCTTAATTGGACGAAAATTTTTGTGGTAGAAATTTTGCCTCTTTATTAATAAGATATAGATATAGACTAGATAAATGCTCGTGCGTTGCACGGGGAACATGAAATTTTTGTTGACACCTACGGCAACACATTTGCAGAAAATAATAAAACACAATGTACACATGTTTGACACATTGTACAAAAATTCATGGCTGGATTGTTTTGAACAATCTTTGTTGCACTGATGAGTAATTATTTGTATAAAACGACACGGTTGTGCGCTGCCCTATTAGGACATATGCCAAGCATTGTATTCGAAGCAAAAACAATTGGCAGGATGGTGCATTAACCGCTGCTAAGTGCTAATCAAGGAACGAGAAAGCAGAGCAGAGCGCACTGAGAGGACGTTCCAGAGCTTCACATTGTCCTTGTCTCGCGCTGCAGGGGCGTTCTGATCAGCCGCTGCCTGGCTCGCCACGCCATGCCTCTGGGACAGTTGGAACCCGTGGCGCACATCTCGACGATTTGGACGCCGCTGCATCACCTTGGTCCGCTGGCTTGTTCCCAGCAGGCCATGCATAGCCTCCAGCGCGCCCGATTGGTCAATTATTGCGTCCCCGACGCCGGGGTCATGAGCTTCACCATCAGCTCGGTCTCTGTGGCGTGGATAATACAACCGGACAGCACGGCACGGACACGGTTTGGCACGGCACTATGTGGCATGGTGGCTTAGCCATACCGTGTATGATAGTGCCACCGTGCCAAAGTTACAGCCCAGGCACGGCACTATGGAGGCTTAGCTGTGCCGTGCCGTGCCGTGCCGTGCCCATGCCCGTCGGACCCATGCCGGCCCGAGTTCACTCCAGCCTTGCTGTCGCCGCCGTTCTTCGGTCGCAGTTAGAGTTGTGCTGTGCCGAGCTCGTGATGCCGCTCCCCACGCCGAGGCCGTGCGTCCGCACGCCGCCACCATTCCTCGGACCCGCTGCGCCCCCGTGTCGTCGTCGCCGTTGCAGCCGTGCCTCATGTGAACACTGTCGCGCCGCCACCGTTGTATCCGCGCCTCGAGGAGAAGAAGAGCGGGGGAGGGAGTGGCCTGGGACCACCGGCCGCCGGCCTAGGGAGTGAGATGCGGAGAGGCCCTGAGCAGGGCCGGCCCTAGGGGAGGGGCGAGGGGTGCGACCGCTGGGGCCAAGCCCAGACAGGGGCCCAAACCCAGGTATGCAATCCTCCATAGACCATTAGCTGTAGTCCTCCCAGAGGAGTGACGAGAAGAAGGCCCAAGCAGTACGAAGACGAAACGTCCGCGCATCTATGATCCATCGACTCAGCCTCACGTCACTGCTCCTGGCCTGGCCTCGTGTGCTTTGGTGATTCAGTTGCCTCATGCAGTGACAGCATGCGCCGCCCGCGCCAACTACTCGATCGCCGATTCACCATGGCCCCTCGCGATGCAGGCATCAGCCGAGCTGTGCTGGCGTGCAACAAGCGAGCAGGAGCTTGGCATCCTGACCAGCAGCTGGCCATGGCCATCGGTCATCGGCCATCAGATTCAGGGATCAGCACTAGCATGTGACGCCAAGATTCAATTCTCAATTCTCAATCGTCGTGCAGCATGACAGCAACAGCTAGGCATTCAGGACTATCCAGGCAATAGATATGACGGATATGATCAGTTTATAATAGTGTTGTTATCGATCATTATTAAATAGTTTAAACTGAGAATATATTCCCATAAAAATTAAGAATACATCATTATATTTGTTTTTGTTTTGCAAGTGAAATTAGATATACGTATATATCTATACTAAACAAACATATACATAGTCTTGCGGGCCCATCATAATGAGTTCGCCTTAGGGCCCTTGAAAACTTAGGGCCGGCAGCAGCCCTGAGAGTTTCTTGTGGTTGGGACTCAGGAGGAGTACGGGAGGAGTAGCGAGAGAAATGAACGGCGGCTAGGAGGACGAAGAATGAGATAGAATGAGGAGGGAGTTACTTTTATACCTATGTCAGGAATGTTGCCAGTCAATCCAACGGTTAGAAATACTGCAAGTCCATCCAACGATCGAGAATAATTGGGCCACCATCATGTCGTGCCCGTGCTGGCACTGCGGGCCGGACCTGCGGCCGAGGCACGGCCCTATATCGTGCCTGTGCCGGCACTAGCACTATGGGACCCGTGCCCGTGCCGTGCTAGTGTCGTGCTTTTTCGGACTGGGCCTATGTCGGCCCATCTGAAAGGTCCTAATGGCTAAGAGAGTGGTGAATAGCATATTAAAAATTTTACAACAACACTAAGGCAAGTGATTAGTAAATAAGATGGCGAAGCGAATTTTATGCTAGCACTATACTTATGTTGCAAGCCACCTACCCAATTCTAAAATCTATGATCTCTAGTATATCACAACAAGGCTAAGTCACTAATTTACATCTAGGTGAGCAAGCTAGCAAGAGAACTACAACTAAGAGCTACACTAACTAGTTTCAGTTACCACAAGCTCTACACAAGTAAAGGCACAATATAATACAAGAGAGTGGTAGTGAGGTATACCGCCGTGACAAGTGATCAATCAATGAATACCAGTGAATACCAAGGACACAATCAAGACACAATGATTTTTCCTCCGAGGTTCACTTGCTTGCCGACAAGCTAGTCCTCGTTGTGGCGATTCACTCACTTGGAGGTTCACGCGCTAATTGGCATCCCACGCTAAATCCGCAACCGGGTGCCGCATAACCAACACGAGATGAGGATCACACAAGCCACGAGTAATCCACTAGAGTATCTTTTGGCTCTCCGCCGGAGAAAGGTCAAGAACCCCTCACAATCACCACGATCGGAGCCGAAGACAAGCACCTTCCTCCGCTCGACGATCCTCGCTGCTCCAAGCCATATAGGTGGCGCCAACCACCAAGAGTAACAAGCGAATCCTGCAGACGAACACCAAGTGCCTCTAGATGCAATCACTCAAGCAATGCACTTGGATTCACTCCCAATCTCACAAAGATGATGAATCAATGATAGCGATGAGTAGGAGGGCTTTGGCTAAGGTCATAAGGTTGCTATGTCAATGCAAATGGCCAAGAGTATGAGCTAGAGCTGGCAAAATGCCTTATATAGGTGTCCCCTCGAAATAGAGTCGTTGGCTCTCTGCTGTCAGCTTCCACGACACGACCAGACGCGCTGGTCGGTTTGATCGGACGCACCACCTCAGAGTCCGGTCACTAATCCGCTGCCACGTGTCACCGCGGTTCAACGAGCACCGCACGATCCCAATGGTCAACTTGATCACTTGCACGGTTAAGTCAAGACAGGACGCACTACGGAGATGACTGGACGCACCCTCGCCTCGAGTCCGGTCACTTCCAGTAAGCATCCAGAGAGGCAAAATCATGACCGGACGCGTCAGGTCACGTATGACCGGACGCGTCGATGAGTCCGGTCACCACTGCCTTGCTCTGATGCTTGCGTCAGCGTATGTCATAGCCTGACCGGGCGCAGGCCCTGTGCGTCCGGTCACTTTCACTGTTTAGCGTCTCGTCAAAGGACCGAGGGCGGCCTTCACTGCGTGCCACTGACCGGACGTGGCTGCTGAGTCCGGTCGCTGCTAGAACAGCGTTCGGTCACCTTGAGACAGCCCCTTCTTAACTCCATCTTTGCCACCCTTGATCAAATGTGCCAACCACCAAGTGTATCACCTTGTACACTGTGTTAGCATATTTTTATAAACATTTTTAAGGGTGTTAGCACTTCACTAGAATCTAAATGCATATGCAATGAGTTAGAGCATCTAGTGGCACTATGACAACCGCATTTCGATACGAGTTTCACCCCTCTTAATATTACAGCTATCGATCCTAAATGTG